AGTATACGTTCGATTTGTCATTTTATCTTTTACTTCATTCTTTTGTAGCAATTTACGGATATATGGAGCCCCTACTTTGAGCTCTGCTATATTTACTTTCTCTTCGACAGTTTCTTCAATATCATTTTCTATCATGGGATCTGTCTCATATACATCATTTATATATGCTACTCTTTCTTTTTTCATGGGTTTCTCATATTTCTTGTACCTTTGTTTTTCATACTCAATTTATTCTACTCTTCTTACTTTATCAGCTAATTGAGCCATGTCATTCAATGGTAAATTGACTAACTTTTTCTTAATCGAGAATTCTAAGCCTGTAGAGGCCATTCTAACTAATTCATATTCAGGAATTTGAGTGAAACATCTCGACTTCATTAGCCTAAATCGATTCAAATAATCATCTATGCTTTCGTGATTGTATCTTTTTATATTCATCAAATCGATGAGACTCACTTGAGTTTCTCCTCTAAAGAATTGCTCATGAAAATTTCTTTCCAGTTGCAGCCAATTATATATCGAATTGGGTGGCAACGAAGTAAACCAAGTAAACGCATTCTTAGTCAAAGAACTAGGGAAATATTTCATTTTTAATTCATCGCTCATCGCTAGGTCCCCACATTTGATCTGATATCGAGCTACATGCTCGATAGTTGATTCACCAATTTCTCCAGCAAATTTGGTGAATTTAGGTACTTTGTATCCTCGAGGTAATTCCGTCTCAAGAATCGCATTTGGAAAGGGAGACACAAAGTATGTTTGATTGGGTGGTCTAAACTCCATCCCTTGGAAATTCATCCTCTCGTCCTAACATGTGATTATACCGCATGTTATTCTGATTGTACATATTTTGAAATCCTTCATTCAGATTCCCACAAATATCATTTCTCATCTCGTTGGTATTCATTCCCCGTATGCTCGATGTTGATCATTGTTTCGATTTCTCCTTAATAGATACTGGGGATTGATATTAGCATTTTGGTTAACATGATTTTCTACCCTTGTTCGTCGAGGTACAGCCTAATGCATCCCCGATTCGTGACATTTGGTCTCGCTAATATCTCAAAACTAGCAAGTAGTGTTCCGAACTAATGGGTTTAGGACTCGTAGTCAACCGTTGTGACAACATATTCACCATCTCAAAATTGCTCTCATCCATTTGTTGTCTAAGTATCCTTAATGAGTTACTGGATATCCCAGTACCAGTGTTTTCGATAGTCTCAAAATTGGATCGATGATAATCTCTATCGAATATATATCTTCCATGTTCCAAATTTCCTCTATGATCTAGATTTCCTCTATGATCTAGATTTGGAAGCGTTTGTTGTGTGCCTGAATTCTGTCCACTTCCTGAATTCTGGGAGATTGCTAAGTTTTGGGATGTTCCTAAATTCGGAGGGACTCCAAAATTTTGGGGCATGCCCAGTGTTTGAGGCATTCCTAAGTTATATCTCGAATTCCGCTGTGTTGAAGAAGTTCCAGCCCCGCTCGTATTATTAAGTGAAAACCCAGGCGGTCTTACACTCATATATGGCCCTACATATGTTGTTGTGGGGTTTCCTATAGTTTGCATATTATTTGGTACCACCGCATTAGATCCTACTTGGGTGTTTGTTAAGGTACCTGAATTTTGTTCGTTACCCACAGGTATCGACATACTCGTAGTTGTCGATGTTACAGGCATATTCTCATTATGACTTTGCCCCCCAGTATTTGGTGAATGTACACCATTCAGACCCTCACTGTTACTCTGGTTATTTGATGAATTTTGACTCATGCTTATAACTCGCCCACTCCTTAGTCTCATACACTCTCGAACTAACCAATTTTGTGTTTTCAACACAAGGCAATCCCTACCTAGTGCGCCAATTTGTTTCTGGTGGAATTTCGATCGATTTCGACTCTTAAGATATTTTGATCCTAATCAAAATTCTACCACGTAAGTTCTTTTTACTTAGGCTAGCAAATTAATTTTCAATCGAGATGCGTATGCGGATCGAATTTTGCCCGATTTCAAAGATACTATTTTTGGTGTTTTATATTTAAAGTGCTCGAAGTAAAGAAAGCAAAAAAATTCGTGGAATCGAAAAGTAGTGCTGAAACATTAGATTGCAAAGAAACGTAACATGCGAAAATCTTAAATTTGCTTTAAGTATAAAAGACAGGGAATCGAAACAGCAGAAATGTAAATAATAGGAAGTATAAATGACAGTAAATCAAATGTGCAGAAAGTATAAATAACTTGGAAATCGAAATTGCATTAATGTTAAATGACAAGAAAACTTAAACGCGGAAACTTAACTTTCATTGAATTGAAATGACCAAAAATCGAAAGTACAGAAACATAAAATTGCTAAAGATAAATTGCATCAAAGTAAATTACCAGGGAAAATACAGAAAACGGTAAAGGTACTCAATGAGCATGGAAATCCAGATTGCCAGAAACTTCATGATGTTCGTCGTTTCTCCGGTAGACTTCTCACTAATGATTCTGTTCTCTGCCAATTTTCTGCTCCCCTTTCCTTTCATCCTTCGCCCTATTTATAGAGCATCTTTTAAGCAAGTAACTTCTTAAGAGCGAGTTAATGAAAACCGCTACCACGTCCTACGTGCATGTTGCAGTTTCTTCTTCGATGTCAAACCGCACCCACGTTCCCATGATCTTCGACTTCGTCATGGTTTAAAACCGCCTTCACGTTCCCATACATGAGGTAACTCGCTTCTTTGATCGACCTTTGCCATCGCTTGCCACGTTTGATGTACACGTCAATTGTTTCTTTCTTTATAACTTATCCAGGATTTCGATACATGGGTTAGCCTTTCTCCGATGTTGATTTCGAATCTCGAGAACGTTTGACTTGCCTTTGATTTCTCTTAATCTTAACATTACATAATTCTGGTTTCTCGATTTCATTCACTTACGGATATTAAACATTCATCCTTCGATTCTCGATTCAAACTCTCGCTTATATTGTCACATGGTCGTCGAACGCATTTTCCAGCTATCTTTCGATTTAGCAGTCTTTAACTCAATCAAAAAAGATTCTCGATTTGCTCCCATTTGTTTCTCGATTTTTCTTCCCTTCGTTTTTTCGATCATTTTTCTCGATTTTCCACTAACAGATATATTGCGATATGAAAAATTATTTCATTTGTTCCTTCTATTTTTTTTTTTTTTTTATGATACCTCAGTGTAATGCCATTTGTTTATGCTTCTCAACTTTTTTCATCACCTCTTGTTGTCATTTTTGTCAAAAGAGAGAAGATTTTTTTTTCATTTTTATCATTTATATTAAATTAATTTTTTTTATAAATAGATAAGTATTTATATAACTTTTGGTGCTTAATATAGAATATTGGAGGATTTATTTTGTTGTTTAAGTGGACAGGAGAAATGAAAACAAAAAAAAAAACAAAAAAAGGGGAGAGAATAAAAAATAAAGTTTTTTAAATTCAGAAAAAATATTAAAATTAAATAAAAATATAATAATTAATAAATTAAGTTGACTGATTTAAAAAATAAAATAATAAGTTAAATTAATAAATGATTATAATATTTTAAATATAAATTTATTTTTAAAATAATTTACAATTAATATTAAGTTGTAAAAATTATATATAATTATACTGTCCAATTTATTTAAAAACTTACAATGTAATATTTTTATTGTCTTATAGACTTAAAATTGAGATGAAAAGTAAACTGTAAACCTAGTTCACCTACAAATATTTTTAACTGAACACATGTGAAATTCACCGTTGAGACCAAACAAGGTATGACACTTATATCGGTAAGCTCGCCACAATGCTCGGCATAAGGCATGTCTCCAACCGCAATCCAAAATGTCTTTATTATATGAAGATTATACTTCCATCAACTCCAATTAAAAAAAATAAAAAATCTAGCCACATATATTTGATCATCTACCTCAGTAACTTTGATTATATAAAAGGTTATATAATATTATAAGTTAGTTATATATATTATGTGGATCGCATTGACTTGGTGGATGAATTATTGGAAAAGATGTTTAATGAAGTATTTCTGAAAAAAATAACGTTATATAAAATAAAGATTAAAATGAGACTTTATATTATAATTATATTAAAGATAAACATAATATTTAGCCATTTTCTTGTCATGACTATGCAGCTGCTTGTTCTGCATTGTTTCTTGAATTATCATAAATATAAATTATGATAAATATATGTGATGAATAGGGATAAATACATTGGAGTACATATGTTTAGTTTTATCATGTGGTTTACTCATTACTGTAAAATACATTAAAGGCAACATATCTCATTGAAACCAAATCTTCTCATTCTTCATCTGTTGGGTTTATAGATTTTTAAAAAAATACTAGCTATAAACTGAAGATCAGAGACCTTACAAATAAGAGGCTAAATGATTTGTATCACAACATAAAATATTTAACAAACTACTTAAACTTGTGATCCACTCACAACTAAGCATCCTTTCTTAGTGGGAGAGAAGGATGACATTACTAAGATTCCACTATCTGCACATTAAAATCAACTCCTCCTTTGATCTTAGTCTGGGAAACGCTTGACGTGTTAAGTAGACTTTGCCTGCACACATATCAAGCCAACGACAGGAAACCAGAATTCTAGTCATTACTACCAAACACGAGTAGTTTCCATTGTAAATTAAGCAATAATTCAAATGATATCATAATATCAGAAATGAGTTAAATTTCAGTTGGGTAAAGAAAACAAAAGAGGTAGAAAAATGGCATATTGCCTCAATGGAACTATTTCAAGTGCCAAAAAACCTTCAAGATAGTTTAGGCATTGAAGAAGTTGGTAATAAATATAAAAATATTTCAAAAATCCTCTTCCAATTTTATTTTATTAACATTTTGGAGTCCATATATTGGTGACAAACAGAATTTTGACGAGAAAGGGAAACATTCATAACATAGTTTGAAAATGTGTCTCTCTTTCGCTGAAATTTTAGTTTGAAATCTTCCATATAATTAAACTTTGTATTGGATAAAGCTAAGGGTGCATACATGCAAATGCTTCCCCAAGTAAACTCTTCTCTTTGCAAGCATGACTGTTAGGATGATGGGAACCATTGCAGCAGATAAATGCTTAAGTGTGTGACCACTGACAATACGAAAAGTCAATACATAAATCACCCTGTCTGTAGTTTCTTGGAGCATTGCTAGAAGATAAAATCCTGCCAAAATTGAAATTGAAATTGAAATTGAGGGTAATTTAAAAGAGTATTTGCATCACATCAAAACAACTTTTACACAATACCAAAAGTACAAACCTGAAGCCCAGAGCCAATATGTTGAATGCGTGTACATTGGAGGCAATAATGTAGCCATGAGAGGTATGGCAATGCATGATGCAATTTGTGCTAGAACATATAGACGGATGTCACCAAAGAACCTTCATTATGAAAAAATGGGTCAGAAAAATAGCAACTATTCTCAACAGCTAAAGTTCATTAAACTGATAGCACAATTACTTCAGATCTTGTACTAGCCTAACTCAAGATAAATCTCATATCGTTACAATAACATATTTATAGAATTGACAACTTTTTTGGGATGAGTAAATGTCCAAGAATGCAATAGGGTAAGGAAATGAACTAGTGCAAATAAAAGGAATGAAGAAATAGCCTTGCCTCCAATACAAATTGCTCATTATGCCCACCATAATCAAAGGTACAATTGCATTTGTTCCCATCTTTGCATCAATCCTTTCAATGATGAGGATTGCCATCAGTGAGGCGAAAGCAACAGTCATCTCCAATAACAAACAACAAGCAAAGAATCAAAATTGTGAAACTAGAATGGAGTATTATTTAGTTATATTAATTTTGTTCAGAAAATAAACTTATTTTCTAAAGTATATTTCCTTAAATTTGATATGAAGTATAAGAGTAATCATTGATATAAAACATTAATTAAATAAATGCTATTTTGAGAATGATCTCACTGAAGTGAAATTGATTTATATTTAGAAATATGATAAAAATTTGAATTGAATTCTTGAGGAGAAACTCACCGGAATTCTGTCCCACAGAAGGCCTGCATCATCTGGGTGAAGATGATAGTATGAAGACCCAAAAGCAACTGAAGTCACACCAGCATAAAAGCATTTCCAACCCCATAGTTCCCCTTCCAAACTAATTAATGCCACATATATCTTAATCATACAACAAAACAACGATCAAATAAGCTAATGGAATTGACGTTGACAGAATAATGAAAGTACCTGATGTTAAAATGGTTCCTACGATGGCAAAGCACAAGGCCAATGAGGCCAATCACCATAAATGGCAAATTTGATATCACGTTAAGAGCATTGGGAATGCCTGAAGAACAATTAAAAAGATGAAAAAGCTTACTAACATGCGTTTGCTGGACATTGGCTAAAAATTTCAAAATACAAAGTTTTCATCAAAATGAATTAAAAATTATTAACATCTTTTAATGAAAAAAATTTCATAAAGAATATTTCTGATGTATTCTAGTTCTAATTAAACTCAGAAAAAAAAAAAATCCTTCTACATGAGGAAATTCAGATTTTGAAGGTCACTTAACTTCGTGGAAATGAAGGGATACAAATAATAAGGAGGAATTACCAAAGAAATTGCGGTTGTCTGCAAAATGATGGTATCGCTGAGGCTGAGGAATGGATGGTGTTAGGAGGATGAGTAAAAGGAAGAAAGCAAGCGCCAGTAGCAATGCCTGCACTGTACATTTTCTCATTTTTCTTTAATTCATGGGATTTGCGTGAATCAGGAAATGACATCATCATGTAGGAGGAGGAAGCGAAGAGGTGACGGTGGACGGTGGACGGTTTGACGGTGGTCTATAGCGGCATCTGTAAAAGTTCAAGGGAGTAGAACTCTCCCAATAAATCCTTCGTTTTATTTTCACTATATAAAAAAACAATTTCTTTCCTATTATTTTGCAAATAAGATTGGTTTTAGAAAAACTAAAATGATAATTTTTTTAAGTAATAAATAGAGGAGAAGAAAATGAAAGAAAAATGCATAAATTGCATTAATTATGTAAATAGTAGTAGTAGGCAAGATATTTGGTTAAACATTAATTCATTCGTAAATAAAAACTAATTTATAAAAAAAAATAGTTCATATATTTAAGTTGAATCATTGGTGTGTTCCTTTCCTCATCTACTACTCCATGGATATTGTTCTCTTTATAATTCAGTTCTTATTTTTCTCAACCTCCCAAGAAAAGTTCCAACGAATAGAATCAAACGGTGGTTGCATGAGATTCTCTTGGCATACGTCGTGATTAATTAAAAAACACAACAAAGTTAATTAAAATAATTACTTTCAGACCCGTATTTTAAAGTTCCACAGATGATTGTTAGCATTTAATGAGTTAGAATTTATCTCGAATGGACAAAGATTAAGAGGCAAATTAAGATAAAGAAAAGGTCTTTAACTTTAGTTGTATAATCTTGGGCAGCGGAATCTGCACCCACGCGCTACCCCATAATTTTCTACGTACCGGCCTACATCAAACCACACAACACATGGCATCATGTTTCCTCTCCCCATGTGTGAAACTCACCCATCTTCTTACTCTCGTCAAATTTTTACCATCTTTTTGCTTTCTTTTTTCTTTCTTCTTTCTTCCTCTACATTATTATCTCCAATTTCCCTTTCAACACTACAAATTTCGTGCACATTATAATCACCGAAACCGTTCCTCGTTCATCCTCTCTGACATGTCTAAAAATCCGAATTTTCGAATGAATTGCAACATTAGATTTAGAGGTGGCAGATACGTTTACTCCTCTGCAATTGGAATCATGCGCGTAGCGTAACGTGAACAAGTGCCAGGGTTAAACTTATACCAGGTCGCGACAAAACAAAATGCGCTTCCTTTCGAAGAAAACCACTACTGTATTCAAGTAAAACAGATAAACGTCACCGTTATTAAGTTGCTTTCAATGTCATCATGATATGTTATGCATATCATGTACATATATGGTTCACAACGCATCAACGCATTATCATTATTTTATTATTATTATTATTATTATTATTATTATTATTATTATATTGGTTTTTCAGAATTTCATTTATTACTGTAAATAATGTACGGTGAAGTTCGATTTTTGTAAGTATTTAACAGTGGTGGGAACATTGTTTGGTGGAACAGATGTGCAGGCAATGATGAAGTGCTTCTCTCTGCGCTTAGTCTCCTTTTGGGCTCTCCTTGCTCTCTGTTTTGTAAGGTATGCGATAATGCAACCATGGAATCTTCTGCTTCTCTTGCTATTTTTGAGTTTCACTTCTTTATGGTACATTTTGGACATTGTTAAGATATGGTTTCCTTGTTTTCTGATTAATTGGAGTCTTGAAGTTGAATCCAGAACCTATTAAGTTTCTGCTTCTTCTTTTTCACATTGCCATTGCTTGCTTCTGGAGGTTGTCAAAATGACTGATTCGCACTGGTTTCGTTATTCTGTTGGATCTGTGCACATAAATCTATCCTGTGAGTGAACAGTAATAGTAATTTAGATAGCATTCAAGTTTTTTCCACATTGTTGGAATTATCAAGTTGAATGTGTAGTTCTGTGCTTCTACTGTAGTCGATTAGTCCAAAATTCAACTCAGATTTTTCATGTTTACTGTCTGTTTGGATGAGTAAATTCTCAGTATAGTAGGAAAAACTTACATATTTGCTCTTAAACATAATAAATGATAATAACTTTATCGTCCTCGAGGCACTGTTGTCGTTAATTCCTCAAATCATATTAACACAAAAAGGTAGAGGGCTCACTCACATCTAAGGTGGGCTTGGTATTGCTGGGTGCTTTCCGGAAGCTGGTTTTATGTATTGCCATATATGTAGTATTTGGTAGCTAAATATCAAAAGCTGTTTAAAAACGTTGTATTAAACATCGGTTATGGTAATATACCTTGGGAAACTTTAAAATCGGAGAAGTAAACTAGAAACACTTCATAGCTTCAATTAAGCAGTGTGTGGAGCGACTTTTAAACCTTACAATCAAAATTCAGTTTTTTGTCCAAATTAATTGCAGAAAATATAAATTGATACTATATTAAACTAAAACCAAAGTTGTTCAGATATTAGACAATAAATGTAAAGAAAGATATAATATAATATAATATGAGTGTGTCGTTTCAGTGTGTCTTCTCAAAATATATCCAAGAGTAGCGGACAGCGAGATACCCTCCCCCCAAGAGGTTGGAATTCTTATGATTCCTTTTGCTGGACAATTTCTGAAGAAGAATTCTTACAGAGTGCTGAAATAGTTTCTCAACGTCTCAAGGCTCATGGATATGAGGTATAGATACTGCAAAGAGCAATAACTTATGGATGATTTGACTGTGTTAGCAATACTTTGGTTAGATATAGACTGATTTCTTTTCATCAACTCTTGAAGTTTGTCGTGGTGGATTACCTCTGGTATAGGAGGAAAGTCAAGGGTGCTTATCCTGATTCTCTTGGATTTGACGTGATTGATGAATGGGGAAGGATGCTCCCAGACCCAGGAAGGTGGCCTTCTTCCATAGGTGGGAAGGGATTCAGTGAAGTAGCTAATAAAGTACATAGTTTGGGTTTGAAGTTTGGGATTCATGTTATGAGAGGGATAAGCACCCAAGCTGTCAATGCAAACACCCCTATCCTAGATACAACAAAGGTGTGCTTTGCATTTCTTCTATGACTTTAATTTTTTCCCTTTATTTCTGTATTAGAAATTTGTAGTGATGGATGCCTTAAATAATGCATTTTTTATAAGAACATACAAAACAACAGCAGAATATGGGAATATTGTTTTTACTCAATTGAAAGTTCTTGTGACCTTTGATTTCCTCGTTTTGCAATTTCCTAGGGAGGTGCATATCAAGAATCAGGTCGAGTGTGGCATGCAAAAGACATAGCAATCCCAGAAAGGGCTTGTGCATGGATGCCTCATGGTTTCATGAGTGTAAATACGAAGTTGGGAGCAGGAAGAGCTTTTTTAAAATCCCTGTATCAGCAGTATGCCGCATGGGGTGTTGATCTAGGTACTCAGACTACTAAATCTGCTTGTTATGCACTATTATGACTTGCAACATGTCACACAATAATCATGATGAATTAGATAATGTTTTGCACTATCTTCACCCAAGTTTTGTTAGTGAAGTAGTTAATGTTTCTAGGTAGACTTAGCTGACAATTGGTATTTTAGTATTCCAATAGAAACTTCAAGTAATTTATCATATAATGAGCTTCTATTTTCACTATAGATAAAATCAACACTGTCCACTTCCTTGGGCCACACTTGTAAACCTTTAAAACATCCATACTCTCCATGTGCTGATTCAGGATTTGTGGGAAAAAAATGCAATAGAAATTACATAGTGGGCTCTTAACTGTAGGTTTTCATTTTCATAATGATCTGTGAGAATATATTATAAGCCTGTATTTTGGCACCAATGATGATAGATTTTCTGCTGTCCTTGCAGTGAAACATGACTGTGTGTTTGGCGATGACTTGGAATTAAATGAAATAAGCTATGTGTCAGAGGTATTCTGCAGTTTCCTCTCCCTCTTACTCTGTTCCCTTCCACTCTCATTCTCATATGATCAGAGGTTGATAAAATTTTGCCAATGATCTTTTAGCTAACTTATCATGTGATCTCTTGCCAGGTTCTCCGTGAGCTTAATCGCCCTATTGTGTATTCTCTGTCTCCTGGAACCAGTGTGACACCAGCCATGGCCAAGGATGTCAGTGGACTAGTCAACATGTATAGAATAACAGGAGATGACTGGGATAATTGGGGGGATGTCAAGGCTCATTTTGACGTCACAAGGTGATTAAGTTGCTTATCTTTCTGTTTTAAGATATTTTTATCAGTCTTCACAGTATGTTGCAATTTATTCCATCAGCATATTGCATAACTTTAGTTCATTTAATTCTGAACCAGGGATTTTTCTACAGCTAATATGATAGGAGGAAAAGGTTTAAAGGGAAATTCCTGGCCTGATTTGGACATGCTACCATTTGGATGGCTAACTGATCCAGGTAATCAGACCGGACTGCTACTTTTTTATTTGCTCGTGGAGAATGCCATGACCATCATACGTTGGTTATCTCTTATTAATATGTATTTATAGATCCATTTACTGCATTTATCTATCATTCATTTGTGTGAACTATAATTTCCTGGCAGTGTGAAGCATTCTCTGCAGATATATTTATTCTAATATGACAAGAGGATATATTGTTGATGTGCTAGCTCTTTTTTAACAAATAAATTAAAATATGTTTACAGTAGTGTATCCTAGATAATTGTCATGAGCTTGACTTGTTGGAATATGGATTATGGAATTATTTATTTTCCCCTACTGTATATGTAGGTTCAAATGAAGGTCCACATAGGTTTACTAAGCTCAATCTCGAAGAAAAAAGGACACAGGTATTGATAAGAAAGCATATCTAAGTTGCTTTCCTTTATATTCGTATGTCTACTTTGATGTGCGTACATGCATTGTGACAGATTGAGTGAACCTATTCTTATTTGACAGATGACTTTGTGGTCTTTGGCGAAGTCTCCTCTTATGTATGGGGGAGATGTGCGGAAGATCGATACTATCACATACGAACTTATCACAAATCCTACCCTGCTAGAGATAAATTTCTTCAGCTCAAATAATATGGAGGCATGTGAGCCATATAAATTTTTTTGTGAAAATAGGCACGTGAGGCATAGAACTTATCATGAATCGCTTTTCACTTTACTGCAATGACAGTTTCCTTATATCACAAGTTCAAATAACTTGAAGCACCCTGGAGGGAAAAAAGGAAGACCTAAGCAAGGAACAAAGGCATTATATACACATTCATTAGCTTTGACTGGCTGCGGCGAATCAAAGGCGAGTGGTTGGTCTATTGAAAGTTCTAACCAATACCTTGAAAGAATCTGCTGGAAAAAGAGTGTAGAAAACCAGCATCAAGCCCCTTTCTGCGTAAACAAGAGAGAACTTCAACTCAGATTGTAATAATGTTTTATCTTTCTCTTTTCCGTTTATCCAACTTCCATTTAAACATTTGTGTTGCTGTTAACAACAGAAATCGTTACGCTGGTGTTGATACAGAGATGGTGAGAATATGTATCAAGAGGACTATCGAGGGAAACATCAACTAGTTGCTGCTGACAGAATGAGATTTTGCTTGGACGCTTCTCCAAAGCGAAAGGTTACTTCTAAAGAGTTCAAGAGAGGAACATTTTCTCCATGCAGATGGGATTCAAATCAGGTATGTTGATTCCATATTTCATGTGCAAGAGTAGCATGTGGCGCTTAATCTTTAAAAGGTAGTCATGAGTGGTTCATTGAAACATCTTGTAAACAGTTAGCCAGTGTGTAACCTATGCAAGTTGTCTCGGGTAGATATAGCAAATTAATTTGGAGATCAACTTCGCTGCGTGCATATTATTATTTTTAGCCAATTTGTTTTTATTGATTCCAATGGAAATTGATCTATCTGGTCTTCTCCAGATCTGGGAACTGAACTCCAATGGGACTATGGTCAATAGTTACTCCGGTCTTTGTGCAACAGTAAAATTTGTTGAAGGTGAAATTTTGTAAACATTTACCACTTTTAAGAATTAATTTCCTGAGGTTGTGCATTTCGTCTCTTTTCTTTTCCTTTTCCCCCCACTCCTTTTATTTATCACTCAAAGCAAATTGTTCACTCGTGCAGATAAAGGTAATATTGGTGGGATTCGCTCTTGGATTGCAACAGGAAGAAAAGGTCTCTCCTACCTTCTGACACACACTCTGGATGGATGTCTAAGAATTTCTTCTTTTCTGCAACTGCATAGCATCAAAGTTGAAAAAAAAAATGAAAATACTTAATTGCTGAATCATGAGTACCATTTAAGAAGTTAAATAACAAATATTATACCATAGGATTTGTCTAATCATGAGTGTCATTTGACTATTAAATAATGGACCAACCAACTGTTACAATTTCACCCACTAAGAGGAGTCAAATAAAATCCTAACATAAATTTTTTTATAAAACTCTTAACCTTTTACGTCTATTCAGGGGAAATCTATCTAGCTTTCTTCAATCTAAGCGATCAGAAGACAGATATATATGCAAAGACATCATATCTGGCCAAGGTTCTTCCTGACAGAAAGATCGATTCATGCAAGGGAACGGAAGTGTGGAGTGGAACGGATGTAATTACAACGCAGGGGATGATATCAATGAACGTGGATATTCATGGATGTGCACTATTTGTTCTAAATTGCAACTAGTCTCCATTAAACATTTTTTTTTCATTATATGTTTTACCTACTTTTTCTCTTTTTTTTTTCTTCTCTCAGATATTTACTTCCCCTTCGAGAAATCCTTCTTTCCTTCCAAACAACCATAAAAGAAATTATGTTGTCTGTTCTATCCTGGTTAGAAAACGAATGATTGTTTCTCTTGAAGCAAAAAAGTAAAATAAGAATCTGCAAAATTATAAATTAAGGATCAGCGAAAATAAAAAACTGCACTGTAAAGTGGATTCGCAAAATATAGGTGGTAAGTTTTTTTCTTTTTTATCACAGGAAAATTTCATAAAGTGAAAACTATAAATATAAAAAAGAAGTAAAATTTATGTAAAAATTAAGATTTTGATTCTCAATTATTTTAGGTAAAATATCTCCCCTTGTTCTAGCGCAATCCTTCTTTTCTTCCGGTCTTGAAACCAAGCCTCATATTTTATAAATTTTTATTATTGTTACCTAAACCTAAAAAATTATCTTTGTAACAATTTTCAACTTTAGTTAATTGAGAAACACTTGTCTCATTTTTCTAACAGATCTTTTTCCTTTTTATTTATTTTACAAGTTTACACTCTAGTTGTAAATAAAGGAGTGATGTGTCTCTTTAGTATCTCTAAGTCTACAATAATATTATTAAAGAAATATCATCAATAATAAGGATAAGAGAAGCTAAAGTATTTTTTTTATAAGAATAGAGACTGAAAAAAAATATAATAAACAGAAATGAAAGTTTAATTATAAGATAAAGTTATATAATTAAATTTTAAATTATCAAATACTTTAGTTTTTTCTTATGTATTAATTAATATTTGTATTCTTCAAATACAAGTTTTTTCACTTTTTTAACTAAATTTGTTCATTTCAAAATATAAAATATACAAACAAAAATATATGTTCTTTCAATTTGAATATACCTAAATAATTTAACATCATCAAAATTAAAATATTTTATTTAAAATGACAATAAATAAAATTACACATAAAAATAAAACAATTAAAACTGCATTTAAATATAAGATTTGCAAATATTATTATAATATTCGAGTGGGCTAAATGGGCTTTGTACATACACAGCATTAGGGTTCCAAAACCTCAGTGGTACATAAACCATTCGTCCATCGCAAAGTGCCGTCACTGCAATATTGCTCTCTGAAAGTCCTCAATTTCCAGTTAGGGTTTCGCTCAGAGTAGCCATGGGAGTCTTCACATTTATCTTTCGCAACTCCGACGGCGAATGGACTGCCAAACAACACTCCGGCGACATCGAGGCCTCCGCCGACTCCTCCTACAATCTCCAACGGAAACTCGTTCAAGCCGCTCTCGCCGCTGATTCCTCCGGCGGCGTTCAGTCCTCTTACTCTCCCGTGACCCCTTCATCTGCCATATTCCAGGTACACCTTTCACATCTCTGACGATTGCGGTTTCTTGGTTCGGAAACGAAACCTTACCTTACGCTTTATATTTGCTGTACGTTTATCTTTTTCATTCTAAGTTTCGGAGCTCTAATTTGTAATTTATTTATTGCTTTTATTTGCATTTGTTGGATTACGTATTTTATTGGAATATGTGTCATTGTATAACGAGTTTCGAAATGCTGCATAGGTTTTCGTTCTGCTGTTTTTGTTTGTTAAAAAATTCTTGTTCATTTCATTTTTTTTGTGAGTTTTTGCTGGGGAGATAATAGTTTCTCTCTATATGTATTTGTTCTCTTTATTGCATTTTTGGGTCGAATTATTACAAGAATGCGTTGACTTGAAGAAAATTATGAGTTTTGTCATTTAATGCGGAGGCTTGTGAACCTTCATCGCAGTTCATCACCTAAAAGTATAAATGTGTGCACTTGTGCTTGTCGATGAATGATAGAACGTAGATGCAATTCTTCATTTGAAATTTAAAATCAATAATCTATGTGGCTCTTTGATACAAATCATTGTCACGCAAGATTATCAAAGTCATAGTTGAAGGCCATGTCTGACAAGATAAGGCTTTTTAAAAATAAATTTATTAAGGAAAAAAGTAAAATCAATTTGGAAATTACCTTATGCATGCGTTTAAACAATTTGGAAAACCGGTATGAAAGAGTTTCTACAAATGAGTTTCTGTATAAATTAATTTATGAAAAAGTCATTTTTTTTTCATAATTTTTTTAGAGAAATTTGTCTTTAAAAACCTTAAATCAAAAGGAGAAATAATATCAAATGCACTTAATCAGCTATATCCAAGTTTTTTGGGTTGGAGAATACTTGTGTTGTTGGTGATTGATGATTTTTTTTTTGCCTTGCTGGTTTATTTTTTGATTCAAGCATTAAGTGGTGGATCCCTGATGTGGTTATTTTTCTTTTTTTTATTGTTTTGTTTAGGTGATAGTCGGTGGTGCAGCGTTCGTTGGTGGTGGTGCAGTTGCAGCTGCACCTGCCGGGGGTGCTGCTCCAGTTGCCGATGCTGCCCCAGCTGCTGAGAAGAAGGAAGAGAAGGTGGAGGAAGAGTCGGACGAGGATATGGGTTTGGGACTGTTTGATTAGAGTTCTTTTGCTTTTTATTGAGTTTTGATGGAAAAGATATTTTAGTGTTTAATCCTATAAAGTTGTATTTGTGTATTGCTTGGCCAGTTAATGGTACATTGAACTCCATCTGATAGAAGTTTTTTTGTGCTGTGACCTAAATCGTTGTCCATCTGTGTCGGATTTTGTTAATTATTTCCTTTTGAAAAAATATCTCACTCGTTTGTTTTATCACCGACGGATCGAATTTGTGCTGGTGATACCTTCAAACGTTTTTGTGTCGTGAATAACATTTTCTTTTCTCATCTGCTTTTAATATGATATGATTGCAATGAGTGAAATACTTTATATAGAAATCATGAATGAGGGTCTGATTGAAACATTAGAAGTTTGCGAAGTGTGAAAATAGATAGAAAATAAGAAAGAGGGTGTCTTTTATACAAGTAGGGGGCTAGAGATAAATGTGGAGACCTCAGATTTTCAGTTTTATGCAAATCAGTGTAGAAACAAACCAGGAAATTTGTTCGACAGTGATAAATTGGTAATTCGTTATTGACTTTACACGTTACGTTACTTGCTTTTCAGGATTGCAAATTGAACTCTATTGATTATGTCATTTTTACTCTTCAATGAAAACAACCTTAAACCACAATCCAACTCGACATATAACAAAGACATTGAATTTGAATGTCACCTAGCTGTTAATTTGATTATTCTTGTTGAAAGTCCGATATCATCTACTTCATATCATTTGGTATAGTTTAAATACATGTTAGGCTATTTCAGATATTATTAATTGGTTTTATGTTGAAACTTTAACATGGTATAAGAGTCAAAAGCTTAGCATCTTTCCGATTATTATCATGGGTCAAAAGTTATCTTTTAGTTGGGTCAAAAGTACCTTTTGCCTGGTTCGATAGACTTTGTTGGAAGGGGTGTGTTGAAAGTTCCACATCGCCTGTTTCGTATCATTTGGTATGGTTTAAATACATGTTAGGCTACTCCATATATTGTCAATTGGTTTTATGTAGGAATCTTAACATGGTATCAGAGTCAAAGTCTAACATCTTTCCGGTTATTGTCATGGATCAAAAGTTGCCTTTTAGTTGAGTCAAAAGTACTCTTTGCCTGGTCCGGCGGGCTTTGTTGGAGGGGGTGTGTTGAAAATTTCATATCGCCTACCTCATATCATTTGGTACGGTTTAAATACATGTTAGATTATTTCACGTGGAACCTTAACCATTATTATTAGAAAAACGTTAATTTAGTGATTTGATTTACATATTTGTCAATTTAGACATTATTTTGGTTCTGAAAAAAATTTGATTTTCAATATTATAAGTTCAATCGCCTATAGATCTAATAGTCAAAAGTGATTAGTTTTCTATATTTAAAACTGATAATAGTCAATCAAGAATTAAATCACGTTTTTCTGTTAAAATAATTTATTTTCAATTTGTGAGAGGTGACTGAAGTTGTTATTTCTTAAGCACCAGTTCTACTTTCAAGTGTGATTATGAATTTGACTACATATAAAGAGGGATCTATTTATTATTTGACTACATATAAAGAGGGATCTATTTATTAAAAAAAAGTAGATTTTTTTATTATTTATGAATAAAGTGTGTAATTATCAAATTTCGAGGAAAAAATAAGGAAGGATCAGAACTAATAAGTCCTGACATGTGTCATGATTCAACTCCACAAAGAAAAAGTGGAGGTTCTTTTTAATGGCTGAAATTATTGAGCCACAGATCCCATATACAGTGAAAGGAGTATTCCTTTCCCTTTAATACAATTGTACAGCAAAATATTTAAAATGGAAGCAAAACATTATGGAAGAAGCTAAATTGATATATAAGTGAAGGATTTAATTAAAATATACCTGTAAGCATGAAAATTACAACACATGTTCAATCAATAATGAATATATTATTATTAAAGAAATTGTGGTACCCACTACATGTTTAACGTTAACTTTTGCTATAAGTCTTCTAATCATATTTAAAATAAAACTTATTAAAAAAAACATAATTACTTACCATATTAATAATAATAGTAGTATTATTATTGTAATAATTATAATTTAAGGTCAATATATAATTTGATCTAAAATAACATATGCTTAAATTAAATAAGCCAGAAGTATAAGTGAGAAAAATTAGAAAAAGAATTTATATGTAAACAAATATATATATATATATATATATATATATATATATATAAAAGAAAAATTAATAAAAAATATATTTATACAAATATATAAATAAAATTGATTTTTTTATCATTATTTATAGAAATATAGGATATGCTTTCTTAGTAAAAGGATAAATGTTTATTCAGCCGGGAAGCATTACTCTACGGATTTGCAGATAGTTTGATAAGTTTGTTGTATAAAATAAAATTACACTCACTTGTATGAAAAACTAAAATTAGTATAAACTCACACTTACACTAATTTTTATATCTATTGACATGTAGTTCAACATATAAGTAATATAGCATGTTACACTGTATAAATTTATTATTATCATATCAATCTCATGTTAATAAATATAATCATATAAATGTCATATATCACTCTATAGTAGACAAATTAACTGAAATGAATGGAAAAATACAGATTAGTTGTTTTTTAAAATTATTAAATTAACACAAAAATTAATAATATAAAAAGTCAAACAAAAATAGTGAAAAAAACTATTTAATCTAATCAAAAGAGTATAGTTATCAGTAATGAGAAAATGTGGTGTCTATTTTAAAATAAAAAATTATTAAAATTAAATTATGAGAAAATATGTAAAAAAATAAAAATAATCTATTTGTTAACCAATTATCGCAGACTCTAAATAAACAAAATAATGAACCATTATCATAAAATATAGTCATTTAAAATAAATTCGTTTGTTTGTTTAGTTGGTTATTTTCAATAAATTTCAATTTAATGATAAAATATCATAACATAACTAATTTTTTTAGTAAATACGTACATTTTGTTTTTATTGGGTAATAATTTTTTTTAAAATTCTTATAAATAAATATTGTAATATTTATTGTTTTTTATTTTTATAGGAAAAAAATCATATAAACCATTAAAATATACAAGATTTTCATAGGTGACTAACGTTAAGGTTGGATTTAACCCATTTAAATAAATATTTTTTTAAGAAGTGAGTTTGATGATAGTGGGTGTTGAATTAAAGGTTTTTGTTTTACAAAAGATTAAAGTTGAAAATGTGTATAAGGTTTGATATTGGGGTATGTTTGAAGTATTATTTTTGTTTATATAAAAAATATTTTTCCGAACCAATATTTTTTTAAGAATAATTTTTATTAATTTTTTTGAAAAAAAAAATGTTAGAGGAGTAGTTTTTATGAGGTGGGTAATTCTTGTATACATTGGTAAAAAAAAAAAAATTGTTTTCGTTATTTCATATGTGTAACCTGAAATGTTAAGAAATGTACACAAGACAATAATCACCATTTCATTATTACATCAAAAAGTTTTATTTATTTTTTTAATAAAAATAATACTTTCTTATGCTCTTAAATTTTAGTAATTTTTGTTATGTTTTACACATTTATATAGGTTAATAGTATGAAATAATATAACATGGATTGCGTTAGAATCATTATTATAATTTTTTAAAAATTTAGTCCAATATAATATAAAAAATTTATCCAGTTTATTTATGGTAAACATTTTCCTTACAAAAAGAGATAATAAACTGTTTTATAACATATTTTTTTGTCTCTGTCTAATATATTATTTATTAAAATAGGTTTTGTATTTTTTTTATTAATTTATTGTCTCTGTATAACCTATATTTTGGTAAAAAATAAGTTTGAGGTTAGGAAAACCTATTGTCTCTGACACATGACACCCAGAAAATGATAATTTTATATTTTTCATCTTATTATTACCTCTATTTTCTTTAGATAATAAATTAAATAAAAATATTAAAACTTTATAAAAACTAAATTTGTATACAAAATTATATTTAAATTATTTTGAAAAAATAATATATTTGATTATAATAAAAAAATTGTGCTATAAAAACACTATTATTTTTGTCAACTTCAGCAATTTTTTAATAAAGTAAAAAAATTAGACTCAAATAATATGTTTACACAGACTAAATTAGGATGAAGTATTTTATAAGATTTATTAAAATGATTGCACATTTTCTAATGACTAAAATTATATTTAAATAACATAATATTCAAGTATTGTAAATAAAAAATACTGCTTATATTTTTGTAAGGAAATTTGTGGAGATGTGCGACTTGTTAACTTAGTCCAATGTTATTTTTTTATGCATTACATATATATTTTATCATAAACTAAAATTTGATACAAGAAAGTCTTGTGATTTTTATCCTTAAGAATATTAGTTATAAAAATATATATTTTTTATTTTATCACAGTTTGTTTTTAGAGGAATGACAAGATAAAAAAAACTATAATTTCAATATTTAATAGAGACAAAGACATGTAAAAAAAATGAATTGTTTTGATTATATTTTCAAAATTAAAAAATAATTGTAAAATTATTTTTTAAAAATAAGTTAATTTAAAAATTATTTTATAATTTTAATTTGAAAACTATTTTAAATACAATATGTTGATATTTATTACCAAAATAAAATTTAAATAATGATTTTCATAAATTTATCATGATATATAATAATTATTAATAAAGAGGTTAATACTATTAATAAAAAGAAAACAATTTATTTTATTTAACTTGTTTTATTAATTTTAAAAAATAAAAAATTATAACTATTTTAAACATAATTATCAAACAAATTTATTATTTTTTAAAACTAAAAAATAAAAATTATAAAAATAAAACTTATAAAATTATATAATTCTAGTAAAAGAAATAGAACAAAGTAAATTATATATATATATATATATATATATATATATATATATTATATTCATAAAATAAAAAGGTTTGTCTTTTAATTTGCAATCAATACTACACTTTATAATAAAAATTAAAATTGACTTACTTATTGTATTTATTTTATATTTATTATCTGACAGAAAAGATGTGCTCATAAATGATATATATAGTGGTATTTTTATATTATTGACTCTCTTTATTATTATTATTATTATTATTTAATTTTTGTTAATCATAGAAATTTTCTTCATATCAGATCATGTTATATTTTATTTCTCTCTTGTGTTTATTCTGCAAGATATTGTTCTTAATTATCATATTTGATTTATTTATTATTCCATCAACAAATGTTAATTTTTGTCAGAAAAACTGTAACACTTTGACTTTTGATTATTTGTTAAATAGATAAGTAAATGTATTCTCACCCAAGTGTATATTTATGACAAGAGGAAGAAAATAAATAGATTTATAATTTTTAAAATATTTTTTGAAATAAAATAAGTTAAAAAATGTACTAAAAGCTAAGAGTACTTGTATATAAATCAAAATATTAAATATTGATTATATTTTTTAATTTCATTATTCTAACTAAACATTTTTTTATTCTTTTAAAATAGATATAATTTAACAGTTCATCCTTATTTTTTTGTATTGATAAAGTTTGAATAAGAATATTATCTTTTAAATTAATGTTGAGACCATTTTAAATGAAAAAAAAGAAACACTTCATTACTTCACCAACCTACAGAAGATGTAAAATAATTTAAAATTTATAAAAAAAATAAATTTAAAATGAAATCATATAATTAAAAAAAGTAACATTATTCATGTATATTTTTGTAAATAATATTTATTTTGTTTTTTTTCATCTAAATAGAATTTTAGTGATATTTTAATCCGATAACAATTATTAATGAAAAACAGGTCAAAACTTAACTAGTAAGGTAATAGAGTATCACGAAAATAAAAAAGTTACATCTACAATAATATATTAATATTATAATATTATCTTTAAGCTGAGGAGAATATTATCTTTAATTAATCATATTAAAAATATTATCTTAATAAAAAAATAATTTAACAGATTGTTTTGGCTACAATGAGTAACTAAAAAATCTATGAGAATAATAAAAAAAATCTAAGAGAATAATAAAAAATCTATTTATAATTTATAATTAAAAAATACTAAAAATACATACACTGAAATTTTGCCTAAAATAAAAGAGAGACGAGAAAGGTGGGTGACACGACGACGCATTGGTCTAGGCCATGAATAATGCCGAATGGTACTTTCCAATTGGAAGGAAAGCATGCACCCCTAATCCGCGCGTGAGGAAATCCCAAATGCACTCGCCCACGCTCCCGAACTAAACAAACACAAAATCGGAGGCTAATGATGGGTTCCATCATCGTCCTTCTCATTCTTCACCAACGCATTCTACGCTCTCCTAATCCTCTTCCGCTTCCTCTTCTTTGCATGTTCTCGGAGCTCCGGCTCCATTAACGGAGCCCCGGCTTCAGTTCAAACCCAAACCCAGATACAAACACAACTTCATTCTCTCTCTTCTTTCGAGATCTCAAAATGTCCAAACCCTGGGGCAATATCGGAGCCTGGGCCGCCGATTCCGAGCGGGCCGAGGCCGAGGAGCGAGAGGCCCAGGCTGCGGCCGCTGCCGCCGAGACCCAAAACTTCCCCAGCCTCAAGGAGGCAGTGAACTCTAAGCCTAAGAAGAAGAAGGGAACCACCATCACGCTCTCTGAGTTCAACCGAGGCGGTTTTGCCTCTGGTGGGGAGCACCAGGGTCTGACGCGCGATGAGTTGATGGCGCTCCCTACCGGCCCCAAGGAACGTTCCCCCGAGGAAATGCAGTTCAATCGTCTCGGGGGAGGTTTCTCCTCATACGACCGTTCCGGCGGTCGCTCGCGCGACCGGGACGGCGGAAACAACGACGGCTCCTGGGGCGGAGGAGGGAGAAGATCGTACGGCGGATTCGACGAGGAACGCAGGGGTCCGAATCCTAGGGTTTCGGAACTCGATCAGCCTTCCAGGGCTGATGAGGTCGACAATTGGGCGTCCGTGAAGAAATCTGTGCCCGCGTTTGATTCTGGCCGGCAGAATCGCTACGGTGGCGGTGGTGGCGGCGGTTTTGGCGGCGGCGGTGGCGGTTTTGGTACCGGTGGTGGTGGTTTTGGTGGTGCGTCCAGGGCTGATGGTGTGGATAATTGGGCGGTTGGTAAGAAGCCTGTTCCGGTTAGATCTTCCAATTTTGGTTCTGGTTTTCGTGATTCCGGCGTGGAGCCTGATCGGTGGACAAGAGGTGGTCCACCGCGTGAGACGGAGCGGATGGAGCGTCCGAGACTGGTGTTGGATCCGCCGAGGGGTGATGGTTTGATGAATGAGGCTCCTGTGAAGGCTACAAACAAGGGTAATCCGTTCGGTGCGGCGAGGCCCAGGGAGGAGGTATTGGCTGAGAAGGGATTGGATTGGAAGAAGATGGATTCAGAGATTGAGGCGAAGAAGACGAGCCGGCCCACGAGCTCTCACTCTAGCAGGCCTTCCAGTGCTCAGTCCAATCGCTCTGAGGGTCCCGGGTTGCAGGGGGTGGATGTTGTGCAGAAATCGAGGCCCAAGATGAATCCATTTGGGGATGCCAAGCCTAGGGAGGTTCTGCTGGGTGAGCGAGGCATGGATTGGAGGAAAATTGATCTTGAATTGGAGCATCGCGCTGTTGACAGGTTTTGTTTTGTTTCTTGGTTAATTGATGTTTTTTTTTCGTTTGTTCTTTGATCCATTGTCTGAACTTATAAATGTTGCCGTGTTTGTACTTGATATTGATAATGACCTTAGATTGGTCTCTATGTTTTTGTTTGGTGCGTCTGGTGGTCATCTATGATTTTCATGCATCATCCAACAATTGCTAGTGACTATCAGAAAAAGCTTTCGTCCTTCTTGTGCAACAAAGCCCACAAATATGATTTTACCGTGGATTGTTGTGGTGTGTTGAATTGATATGCTTTCAGGCTAGATTTACAGATTAGGCAACTCATATGGGTTGGTATTTAGGTAAAATTTAATCATTAGTCTACACTAGGATTGGATTACCACGAGGATATTTCATCAGACTGGTAGATAATGTTTGGCACGGGCTTATTTACTGTTGTAAATGCATTTGGTACTATCTTTGGTTATGTTTTATGTACTTCATGTATTGTGCAATGTATGACGAAACGATATATCTATACTGATCCATTTGGGTGTTTCCCTTCAAATTCGGAGGTTCTCATCCCAAGCCTGTTGTATTTTGATGGAAGTGGATGGGAGTTCACATTGAACTGATTAAAGGGTGGTTGTTTTTGAACTTGACTAATTTAGTAAGATTTTAATGGGAGTAAGAAGAGCATATTAAGTGGTTACTATAATGTATATATTCTACACTTATGTCGAGAGCTAACTGTGGATGTGGATGTGATATAGTGGTTGTGAAAATAAATTGAAAGTATTCATGTGATTCACTGCTATGATAATTAGGCTCCCAGTTATTGAGGGCTATTAAGCACAAGTGGTGCTGAAACCTCTTTGCAACACTCTCTCATGTTAACTTACTAGATTGAATTAGTTGTTTTTTTTTACTTATTCTGGGGGATGTGTTGGGTACTTGAATATATTGTTTTACTGAAAATAAATTCAAAGTATTCATGTGATTCATTGCTATGATAATTAGGCTCCCAGTTATTGAGGGCTATTAAGCACAAGTGGTGTTGAAACCTCTTTGCAACACTCTCTCATTTTAACTTACTAAATTGAATAAGTTTTTTTTTTTTTTTTACTTATTCTGGGGGATGTGTTGGGTACTTGAATATATTGTTTTACTGTATTTTTTCATGTCTTCGTTCAGTTTTTTTGTGTAAAAACTGCTAGCCTTTGCGGGTTTTCAGTTAGCATGAGTTGTCCAGGATGGGCCTTTACTCATTGATTCTTCAATATTTCCCTAAATTGATATGGTAATTTTAATATGGTAACTCTCTTTGTGGCAGTAAAAGAAGGTGATTATTGTTTTTAACTATCATGTCCACATCTTATTCTTTATGAAAAACATTTGACCTAGTTTGCCTGCAATCTAAAATTTTGTTAATGCTACTATATTTTGTAGATAGGTTATAAATTGTGGTGAGTGCTAAAATTAATTCTCATGACAGTACCGCATGCCAATGTTATCAAGTTTGTGAGTATACGTGGTAACATTGCAGTGCAGAACTGAGGATCTGCAATCATTTGCAGGATTTCAATTTGCTTGCAAAATTGGCTGATTGTACTTCCCTAATGTGTGACTCAGGGTTTTGTTACCCTATTAATAAACTGTATTTGGTCTTTCTGGGTTGTGTTCATCATGACCCACTCGAATATTAAACCACAAACCTTTCCTTTAGGGTTCCCGGAACCTAAATCAGAATCAGAAACATCTCCGCCTGACACAAACAAGCTTTGCAGACACTGATTCCAATAGTTGTGTGCCTGTTGTTTGGTGTTTGCTAGGTGTGTTCTATTCTTTCTTCTTCATGCTTTGTTCTTTTTTGGAAGAGTATTCTGCTTAAAATATAAAGTGTTCTGTTTTTTTTTTATGTCTATATCCTTACCTATATTATTTTTAATTTATGTGCATATCTATAAATATAATTTTTTATATATGCATAACTCTTGTAAGTCGAGTTATGATATTTTATCCTTCCTTGTGATCCTCTTTCTATCTGTTGGAAGTATCTGTTAGAAGTTTCACATCGCTTATCTTATATCATGTGATATGGTTTAAATACCTGTTAGACTATTCCACATATTGTCAATTGGTTTTATGTTGGAACCTTAACATGGTATCAAAGTTAAAGTCTAACTTTTTTCCGATTATTGTCTTGAGCAAAAAGTAGCCCTTTCGTTGGGTTAAAAGTACCTTTTACCTGGTCCGGCAGACTTCGTTTGAGAGAACGTGTTGAAAGTCCTATATCGCCTGCCTCGTGTCACGTGATATGGTTTAAATACCTGTTAGACTACTCAACATATTGTCAATTGGTTTTATGTTGGAACCTTAACACTATCCTTGAGTTTGACAACAATGGCATGTGCGTTTGGGTTGGGTCATTAGACAATTGTATTAAAGTTGATAAATTTTTGTTCCATGCCATGATTTGATGAAATGGAATGCCGACAGCTAAGGATCATGGAAAGAGATATACTGTCTTTCTAATTTTTGGTGGATCAAATTGAAATGGGCACTCGTAAAACCAAGCATGTATAAATTATCCATGTTTCTTTAAGTCTCTAATCCTGGCTGTAAACGAAGCGAACTCTCCCTTGGCTGGTGACCATGGGTGGGTGTGGTTGCTAGAGTTTGTTAGTCAGTTTTGGCCAGCCTGTTTGTGATGTTCTGGCTATGGCTAACTGGTCGTTTTTTTGTGTTATTGAACTCTGACCTGTGAGTTCTATAATTCTATTTCATCCTCGTATAAGGATGCAAGTTGCCAGAGGTGCAATGTTAGGGTTCCACTGGTACTGGAGTCCCTTGAGGAGTTGATGTTGATGGTGAAAGGCATCAGTTGGTCTGCTGCAGCTTGTTTTCTCCTGACTTGCTTCAAATTGTGTTTTGTTCCCATTTTATGTTTTGAATTCTGCTTCTTTCAATCTGTTCTGCTTATGTGTTGCATTTCTCTCTTTATATCTAGCTGTTTTTTTTTGTTAGAATTGCCTTGATTTTTATTTCTTTAATCAGTTTGCCTCAATTTATTCTCTGATGTATTTTATTGTTTTTATGCCTGTGTTTCGCATACTTGGTTGCTCTTGTTGCCAATTTTTTGCTCTCTTGTGTGTGTTATGCTTGGCATGTCTTGTTTGTACAAACTTCTCTGTAAACTCCTTTTAAGAATGAAAAAAAGAGAAAAACTGAAATTAGGTTATCCATAGCTAAAATTAGCTTATGTACGAGCTAATTTGTATAAGCTCTTGTGTATAGTTTATTTTATTTTTAACTTGTGCATAAGAATCTAATTTTTAATTTAGAGAAAAGTCGAATTCATTTTTTTGCTTTTTACTGTTCCTAAGCTTGTCCAAACAGACCCTTGTATGCTGTTTGGGGCTTTGGGATATATTTTTTGTAGATTTTTTCTTTTTACTGGAGATTTTTATTTGCTGTTATTTTTTCTGCCAGAGTATTTGTTACTGGGTTGTCTGAAGCTACAAAGTTTTGATATCAGTTTGCATGCTAAGGGGGGACCCTTAAGGATCAAAGGCTTCTTAGCAGTTGTCTAGTCTACATAGGACGTTGTCAATATTTTAATATTCAGATCTAGTTCCCTTAAATTCTTCAATTGAAATGGGTTATGTTTTCCCATGATTTTTCTATTTGTAACAAGCTTAGGTGGCTAAGCTTGGAGGAGAATGTTAGAATATTAGGATTAATAAGTTTGGTGCTATTTTACTTGGGCTTGTAGCTATACCAAGTACTAGACACATACTTTTTGGATGAAGTAGATGCAGATTGTGGTAGTGTTCGGCAGCTATCTATCAATTTGAGTATATTAGTTATCTTTCTATCAACTTTGGTTTCTTCCTTACCTAAACCTTATAATACCGAAAGGTGAATTGCTATTAGTTTAATCGTTGTTTTGTATCATTTACTCTTATGGTAGTTAGGTATTTTTCAGGACTTGCCGTCTTAAAACTCATTCTCCTTCTTGTTTATATTGTTCACCTTGCTGGGTTATGCACGGGATTGCTAACCTATTTTTGTGTAACTAATTAGGTCATGGTTTATTTGTGAATTGCTGTCTGTCAAATTTACAAGTTACCTTGTTGACTTATTACGTATCAATTCAGGCCTGAGACAATGGAGGAAAAATTATTAAAAGAAGAAATTGATAATTTGAAAAAGGAACTTGGGAAGGAGTCTCCAATAAATTCAAACAAGGAATCTGTGGATGAGGCTGATGGAGACCAAACCAGTACACATGAAATACTACGACAGAAAGAAAAGGAGCTGGAACTTCTTGTCCGTGATTTGGATGACAAAGTACGATTTGGGCAGAAAGCCGTTGAAAGGCCGGGTTCTTCGGCAGGAAAGTCTTCTGGTTTGTCTGATAGGCCACCTTCTAGATCTGGCTCTTTTGAGGACTCCAGAAGTGTAGATTATACAGACAGACCTCGATCTCGTGGTACAGGAGATATGTGGGCACGTCCTAGTGATGACAGAAGACAGTTTCAAGGTAGCAGGGAAAGGGGGTGGTTTTCTGGCAGCAGAGATTTGAATAGGTAAGAAATATACAATTCTTCATTTGCAGTGTTATCTCTCAATTTTATTTCACCCTTTCCATTCTTACCACCTCTGGTAATAGTTTGCTTACTTTGGTTGTGATGTGGTTTTGAATTCAATTTTCTTTCTTTCTTTTATTTTTTGTCTTATATAGTTTTTAAATGTTAAGTATGTGAGAATGCTGGTATTTGTTGTCTTACAGGTCAAATTCAAGAGAGAGATGGTGAACAGCAGTTTTGAGTGGATTAAGAGTTATCTTCAACTTTTGATGACCAGAACCTAATACTATTTTATTACTTGTCTTTTCTAATCGTTTTGTTCATTTTACTCCAGGCATTTGGAGCAACAATCATTGAGTACTGGCACAAACTTTTGCCTAAATCTGTTATTGCATCTCGAAACATTGTAAATTTGTTTTTCCTCTTTCTGGTAATTTTTTGGGTGTCTGGATGAAGGCAGAAAGCCTGTAATTTTATTAGGACTAAATTTTTATTGAGGATTATGGAACTTGCTAGTTAATGTTAATGTGATATTGTTCAGATATTTAATTATATTCCTTTAATTTTGCATCTGCACTATTGGCATTTTAGGGCTTTAACATCGCTAGTTTCAAGCCGCTTTCCTCTCTACCTGTGAATGGTGGTGGAAATTTAGTATTATATTTATTTCACAAAGTTATTGTCATCCCACTATGTATGTAAAATCAAACGATAAAAAATTTAGGTGTTTAAGAATTTAAAACGATTTTTGGTGAAACACTGCAGATGACGTACTATTTCAAAATAAAACTTTAGAATCTCATGAACATTTTTATTTAAAATTGTAGAATTTGAAATTCTATTAAAGTAAATAGTTGAAATTTTTAATCTTTTCTCTTCTCTTCTCCCTCTCTATTATATTTAAAGGGTAATCATCCATATCTTTGAACCATCAATCATTTTGTATATTAATTTTAATTGCTAATATTTAAAATTTATTCATGTGTAATTTTATAATGCCTAATAAATAATGCATTTTTTAATATGTAATTATATTTTTACATACATTAGAAATTAAATTACTCTATTTAAACTAATAATAAAAAATTTAAGAATTTTGAAATTAGCTAACCAATAGTTTAAAAGATGAAGGAAATTCAAATTTTTTAAAATTTTAATATTTGCATTCAAACACAACTCAAATGATTTTATTTGATTTGAGCTTAAGTAAATGGTGCTCATCCTGATTTCATCATCTTTAGAAAAATAATTTAAAGAGTTGTAAAATAGATATAATCACATCTAAAATGTTTTTTACCTTTTTAGTGATCTTGGTTTCGTAAAATAGTTTCATTTAAATGTTTATATTCATCATACCTGTTTTCATCCTCAGTCAACTTAAGTTTTCTGTATCAAACTTGATGTGAAGATGGATCGATCTCAACATATACAGATTTAATTGTCATTCCTTTCTTGAATATTTCTTTTGTATTTTCTGTTTATTCTCAACATTATTTGGTTTAGAATTTTAAAATAAAGAAAGATAAAATGAAGGAGTTAAAATTTATTTTATATTTGTCTTCTCTCAAAGTTTGATGACATTTTTGAGATTATATAAATTAAATTGTAAAATAAAATATATTTTACCTATCATTTCCTAATAATATACCTCTATCGTTCTTCTGATACGGTATACATCTTAGAATAAATTATTATTTTTTATAAGAAATTTTATAATTTTTATACAACATTATATTTGTTTTTATTGTTTGCCCTATTAGATACTATGTATTTTTATTAATAAATAGTAAGAAAATAAATTAAAAGTAATTATTTGTGAATGTTAATTTTGTATATTGATGATTTTATTTTTTAAAATTCAACTATATTAATTGTGTTTTATTGTTCTCTCGTAATTATATTAGAAGTATATAAGTCATTTTACCTTTCTTACCAAACCATTTATATATTTTTTTCCTCCTCTCGTTTTCTTTGTGTAAAATCAAATAACAAAACGTATCTCTCCTGTTAGAAAAGTAGTTTTAAATCAAGAGGGGGGTGAATTGATTTTTGAAAGTTTTTCGCAATACACAGATTATCTAATCCGAAAATTAAGATTACTTATCAATTCACAAATCACAAAGCAATCAAACAAGTTTAAGTGCGACAACGGAAATTAAAGAGAGAAAGGTTAGGAAAGATTTCACCGGTAATTTTATACTTGGTTCACCCAATACCAGGGCTACGTCCGGTCTCCGACCAAATTCCAGTGGGTTCCACTAGAATAGATGTTTTACGAGACTCACACTCTTACACCTATTCTAACTCTCCACCAAGAACCAAATTCCAGCTCTTGGAAACCTCTGCAACCAAATTCCAGCCGCAGAGAAACCAGTGCCCAAATTCCAGGCACCACACACAAGAACCAAATTCCAGCTCTTGCTTTAACCTTTCCACCAATAACCAAATTCCGAGTTCTTGGCAACTTTCTACAACAATTGCAGAAAACTTGTACCCAAATTCCAGGTACAAAACGAGTACAAATGAATGAATAGAAATTTAAAAGAAGAAACAAAGAAAGCTCAAACCGGATTACACCAATCCACGATCAGTTTCTTCTTCAAAGAAATGCAAAGTGCCTCAAGAAAGATTTCAAAAGAAGTTCACAAAAACGAGTTGTGTATCTTTCTTGAAAAATGCTAATAGTTGTTTGTATTGATTGCTTGAATTGTGTCAAAAGCTGATATGTTAAAAGTTCCAAGCAATTCTGTTTATAAAAGAGTATTTTCAAATCTACTGCATTAATTAATCTGTTGAAAGTTTGTTTTAATCTGTTGAAATAGCCGTTACAATCTGTTAAAAGTCCTTTCAACCCATTAATGCATTCTTGATCTTTAACAGAATCGTTTTAGCTGATACGACCACTTTTATATCAGTTAAAACATTTTACAAACTTTTTCTAAGTATAAAACAATCGATTGAATCACGTATTAATCGATTGATTTGTTTAAAAACCTTCTTATAAAACTTTCCAAGTTATTTTAGTCGATATAAAGTCGTTTTAATTGATTAAAAACACTGCACGAAATTTTTCTAAGTTGTTTTAATCGGTTGAAATACGTTTTAATCGATTGAAACTCTGTACAAAAATTTTCCAAGTTATTTTAATCTATTGAAATGCGTTTTAATCGATTGAAACTCTGTACAAAAATTTTCAAGTCATTTTAATCGATTGAAATTCGTTTTAATCGATTGAAATATGTCTGATCGGTCATAATTCAATTCGATCGATCATAACCAACTCGATCGGTCATAATTTCATTCTGATCGATCATCCTGATTTCCAAAGTGGTTTTAATCGATTGAAACGTGTTTTAATCGATTAAAATAAATCTGATCGCTCTTTTTTAAAGTCTGATCGATTATATTTCATTCGACTGTCATATTCGAATTCTAATCGGTCATAAAGGGTTTTAATCGATTAAAAGAAGTTTGTATCGATTAAAATACTGTAAAAACACTTCTTTACGCATTCTAAGTGATTTTAATTGTTTCTTTTAAAACTATATCAGTTAAAAACATTGTTAAGAAAGTTCTTTGTCAAAATGCTTTTGTTTGATTTGTTAAAAACTATTTTTGAGGCATTTTGCAAAATGAGTGAAGAAGCTTTAAGTAGTGGAAAAGGTAAAGTGGTTTTACCTAAGCTTTACGTTAAGACACACTAAGTCTTCGACTCCTTTGTTCCGAGTGACTTGTTTGACTATTGCGAGTTGACCTTTGACTTTATCTTTGACTTCATCAAATCATCGAGTTCTTTGCTAGGATCACTTTCGGTCTCCCCTATTTGATGAAGACAAACACCATTTTGAAAAAACAATCTCTGCAAAATAAGTCACTTGATAATGCGGTTAGGTGAGAAATATAAGAATGTAATAAAGTTTTGTTTCTCCCCTAAAACTTATTTCTCCCCCTAAAATGTTGCGCTTAAATTTATCTTAAAGTGATGCAACTATTTCTCCCCCTTTTGACTTCATCAAAAATAGGGAATAGAAGAGAGAGGAATAAAATGTAAGGTTTCGAAAATACGCTCAAGTTTTTGAAAAATACAAAGTGAATCAATATTTCACTCATGAAAAGAATCAATTAAAGTTGATTCAAACTTATCTCCATTAACACGTTTGTAATGAATACAATTAACACGTGTAAAGATAAGGGAATCACGCTTTAGTAGCATGTTTACCGAAACAGCCATTAACTAAAGCCTTTAATCTTTCTTCCCAGAATAAAAATCGATTAAAAACAGAGCATAATCAGTTAAAATGTTCTTGGTAAATGATTTTAATCGATTGAAAGAAAAGTTTAATCGATTAAAACATTTAAGATTTTGAAAACATGAAACTTTAGTAAAAATAATCGATTATTTCGATTTTGAATCGATTAAAACATGTTGTATAAGTTCATTTAATCGATTAACAAGATGTTGTATTGATTAAAACAATCAGTTTTGAAAATGAAGTAATGTTTAATGCATATTTTGTAAAACTGATCATTTAGAAGGATGTTTTAACAATACTAACGACTATATTGATTAAATCTTAGCTAATAGATCCATCGAATAAAATCTTATTTAGCTAAAGCTCTCGAGGATCTATTTAAATTCTATCTAGATTAACTTTAAACCTACATTATATAAATCAAGGCTAAAAATGTTGTTTCGTTTAATAACCAGGTGATACTACAGATCATAAATTGAAATTAGCATCAAAAGGGATAAGATATAAAGGAAAGGTAAGAAGGGACCCTGTTTATCCACCAATATTTAATTATCCCAATTTCCTTGGTTTAGTTGCAAATCCTCCAGTTTGGTGTAAACGAATTTGTTCTTATTTCCCCGATTATTTGTGTCGGATGCCAAAATACGTGACTCGGTCATTTGATCCTCAACCACTTTTCGCTGGAACGGATTTTGCTCTATCAACCATTTATTCAACAACGGTGACTTTCTCGTATCGATGCAATGCACACGAAACTTTTCACGAAAAGAAATCTTTTAGCAGTTCATCGTTACTATTGATCGCATTACAGTCCATGGTTGACACCACAATGGAATTAAATGTTTCTTTAGGAACATCAACTATTACACATCCGAGGCGAGAATCATGTACTCGACGGACGTACATTCACTATCAGATTCCACACGAGTGCACGATACCATAAATTGCATGAATCACAGATTAATGATGTACTCGAGATAGGAATTTCCTTTCAAAATAGCCAACCCATTTTGAACCCTCGAGTTATCATCATCCAAGCAAATAACCGTATTTTTATTAATGTAGTATGATGGGTGTTATTCTCACTTATAATGAACCGAGTCATCATTATCTTTTGAGGAATGAGTCATTTTTAACTTTGTTGTTTCCGAGTGGTATCATATGCACAAGTGATTAACAAAAAACTTATTCGGTAGAGTGGGCAATGATTAGTAATGAGGACAGGTGATGACAATCAATCCAGAATTCTAAAATAATATAAAATTTATCCCTGTACTCGACCATAAAACATACATTCCCTGTACCACGATATTCAATTTTTGAATTGTCTGTTCCAGATTGGTTCCCTTATAGTGTCACCTCGTGACATTGTTGATTAAAGCAAATATTCAAAGTTGCACAGTTCCAATGAATTTCACCAAGAGTTTTGAACCAATGCATGCTCAAAATTATTTCAAATATATTGCAATGTAATATCAAGAAATTTAATGAAAACATGTGTTTATTGGATTTCCTAGTAATGAATAACTTATTACCAGAAACAATTATCACCAAAATTTTTTTTGATAAACTATGTTTTCGATCCTAACAGTTTGACCTGTTTGTAACTAGTGTCTATAAGAAAAGTTACGATCTATTCTTTAATAATTCCTTTGATTTTCAATGTATTACTACGCAGACATTCCATGTAAAGTATTAAGAGAGATGTAGACGCCTACAGACTTGAATCATGACTATGTTAAAATAACTTTTTCATCTATGGATAACTTTCCCACATGTAAAGTTTGCAGTAATTCAATCAGCAATAACTTTCCCACATTTATTCCACTAGTCTTAGTTTCTAATTCAAGGATTTTTTCAAGCATGTGCCATTTAAGGAAAATTGGGTGTTTCATAACGGATAACTTGGATCGGACATATCCGAGACTCATTTATGATTATCTGAATCGCTACAGAGGCACAATTTACGGGACGATGGGTGAAAGTATTATGCAGATTTTGATTTTCACAAGAACCTGGGATTTTGACTTGAATTTGCTTATCAATAATCAATTGAATGTTATAGGACTTATTTATACAACCTAATTAATCAATTAATTAACTAATTATCTATTAATTTGATTTTTATCATTAGGGGTGAAAACATCTATAGTGAATTAATCGATTGTTTTATGAAAGAATCGATTTGTATGGTACGAGAATGTAATAAAAAAATATCACAAGTATTTAAATCGATTAAAACGTAAATGAATCGATTAATTTTGATCCTAAGTGTTTTTAGTTGATATAAATTTATTTTAATCGATTAAAACGACTAAACCAACATTCCGAGAACAATTTAATCGATTATTTCGACATTTCAATCGATTAAAATGGTATGGTAAGTTATTTCAATCGATTAATATTGGTTTATATCAATTAAAACAATTAATTTAAATACACGAACCTGGTTTCGCAACTCTGATCTTCAAGGGATTCCCGAGACTTGTTCCTGCAAAATAATTAAGTATTTTTCTGGTACCCTTTATAATTATTGGGTCCTGATCATGTTATTTGAAAAGAATTAATCTTTGGAACCCATTTCATTCTTCCTTTAGGAATGACATACTTTTTGATTCCGCAATTTTTAACAGAGTGCCCTTTTTTCATACAAGTAAGAGCATTTAATTACAGAGTATGAATTCCTATTTGTTTTTGTTTTACTTGGATCTAGATTTAAATCATATTCCAGATTTGTCAAAAATTAATTTTTGAGATCCAAGTAATACATCTAGATTGGCTTTCCCTTGTGTGAATCTTGAAATAGTTTGAGATAGAAAGTCAATTTTCTTTTGCAATTCGAACAGCTTATTGCATGGTTTATTGCATTCACAATCGAATTAGCATGAATCAGTTTCAAGAAATCACGCTCAGTTTCATTTTCAAGAATTTGTTTTTCTAGAGAATCAACTTTATTTACTAGCCAGCTTGTTTAGCCCTTTCAACCTACTATTTTCTTTTTGAAGTTTCTTAGCCTCTTCATGCATTTCATTAAATGCTTCTTGTAATGCATCATAATTGACCAAATTTGAAGAGGAGCTAGAACTTACTTGATCGAATTTTCCGGGCATTCTATCCTGTCATGGCCACTCGGTATTTGGTGATTCCGAGTTGACCATTAAGCATATCTCTGGTGCTTCTTCATAGGTCTTTTCAAGGATCTTCCACATTTGTGTAGCAGTTTGACAATGTGCAATCCTAAAAAAATCATTTCGTTAAGAGCGGAAGAGATGATATTTTTGGCAATACAATCATCTTGAATTACGTTAGCAATATCGGTTTCCTGTTCAATAACATTCCAAGCATTTATACTAACAGATTCAATGAAGATTTTCATCCTTAGTTTCCGAATAGATAATCTGTTCCACACAACAGTGGAGGTCTATCAATGTACGCTCCCTCGAGAAAATGCCATGGATCGAAGTAACTTGAGTAACTTTCAAGCACCTCGCTCCGATACCAATTGTTAGAAAAGTAGTTTTAAATCAAGAGGGGGGTGAATTGATTTTTGAAAGTTTTTCGCAATACACAGATTATCTAATCCGAAAATTAAGATTACTTATCAATTCACAAATCACAAAGCAATCAAACGAGTTTAAGTGCAGCGACGAAATTAAAGAGAGAAAGGTTAGGAAAGATTTCACCGGTAATTTTATACTTGGTTCACCCAATACCAGTGGCTACGTCCGAGTCTCAGCCAAATTCCAGATGGGTTCCACTAGAATAGATGTTTTACGGACTCACACTCTTACACCTATTCTAACTCTCCACCAAGAACCAAATTCCAGCTCTTGGAAACCTCTCGCAACCAAATTCCAGCCACGAGAGAAACCAAGTGCCCAAATTCCAGGCACCACACACAAGAACCAAATTCCAGACTCTTGCTTTAACCTTTCCACCAAGAACCAAATTCCAGTTCTTGGCAACTTTCTACAACAATTGCAGAAAACTTGTACCCAAATTCCAGGTACAAAACAAGTACAAATGAATGAATAGAAATTTAAAAGAAGAAACAAAGAAAGCTCAAACCGGATTACACCAATCCACGATCAGTTTCTTCTTCAAAGAAATGCAAAGTGCCTCAAGAAAGATTTCAAAAGAAGTTCACAAAAACAAGTTGTGTATCTTTCTTGAAAAATGCTAATAGTTGTTTGTATTGATTGCTTGAATTGTGTCAAAACCGATATGTTAAAAGTTCCAAGCAATTCTGTTTATAAAAGAGTATTTTCAAATCTACTGCATTAATTAATCTGTTGAAAGTTTGTTTTAATCTATTGAAATAGCCGTTACAATCTGTTAAAAGTCCTTTCAACCCATTAATGCATTCTTGATCTTTAACGAATCGTTTTAGCCGATACTGACCACTTTTATATCAGTTAAAACATTTTACAAACTTTTTCTAAGTATAAAACAATCGATTGAATCACGTATTAATCGATTGATTTGTTTAAAAACCTTCTTATAAAACTTTCCAAGTTATTTTAGTCGATATAAAGTCGTTTTAATCGATTAAAAACCTGCACGTAATTTTTCTAAGTTGTTTTAATCGGTTGAAATACGTTTTAATCGATTGAAACTCTGTACAAAAATTTTCAAGTCATTTTAATCGATTGAAATTCGTTTTAATCGATTGAAATAAGTCTGATCGGTCATAATTCAATTTGATCGATCATAACCAACTCTGATCGGTCATAATTTCATTCTGATCGATCATCCTGACTTCCAAAGTGGTTTTAATCGATTGAAACGTGTTTTAATCGATTAAAATAAATCTGATCGCTCTTTTTAGAGTCTGATCGATTATATTTCATTCTGACTGTCATATTCGAATTCTAATCGGTCATAAAGGGTTTTAATCGATTAAAAGAAGTTTGTATCGATTAAAATACTGTAAAAACACTTCTTTACGCATTCTAAGTGATTTTAATTGTTTCTTTTAAAACTATATCGCTTAAAAACATTGTTAAGAAAGTTCTTTGTCAAAATGCTTTTGTTTGATTTGTTAAAAACTATTTTTGAGGCATTTTGCAAAATGAGTGAAGAAGCTTTATGCGATGGAAAAGGTAAAGTGGTTTTACCTAAGCTTTCGTTAAGACACACTAAGTCTTCAACTCCTTTGTTCGAGTGACTTGTTTGATCGTTGCAGAGTTGACCTTTGACTTTATCTTTGACTTCATCAAATCACTCGAGTTCTTTCCTAGGATCACTTTCACCTCCTGCTATGCATTTAAATCTTTCATTTTTTTTTTGCTTTTGAATGAAAGACTCTATAAAATTAGTTTATTTTTATACGTAAAAAATAAAATAAATTTAGATTTAAATTTTGATAGATTTTATATAGAATGGTGATGGGTTAACTTATGACTATTTTTATTTCAATTCTTAATAATTTTAATTATCTTAACATGAATAATTATAAATTTTAAAGATATAAATATTTTATTGAATTAATCTACTTAATTAACAAAAATATAAAAAGCAATAAAACATATTTCAGTAATTCAACTCATTAATTCACTCTAATCCCTAAATATATATACATTATCATTTTAAAAAACCAAACATTTAAAAATGGAGGGTTTGTTTGTTTGTGCCAAATTGGGGAACACACTCATAACATATTTGAAAGAAATCATAATCGATTCTGGAAAAAAACTACGAGAACCATGTCAGAGAAATGGATGCAATTTTTAACATGGCTTGTAATTTCAACAACACTAACGCAGAGTAATGTAACTGGTGGAAGCAGGCTAAGAGAATGCAATTTGAGAGCCATATTCAACTTCGGCGACTCCAATTCTGACACAGGCGGTCTCTCAGCGGCGTTCGGACAAGCTCCTCCTCCCAACGGAATCACGTTTTTCCACTATCCCAGCGGACGATTCTCCGATGGCCGCCTCATAATCGATTTTATAGGTAATAGCAATGAGATCTGTTCTTTCCTGAAGCATTGCATGAACGTTCCAACAACTTGAGATGAAAATGAATTTGAACAGCGAAGAGCTTGGGCTTTCCTTATCTAAGTGCTTACTTGGACTCGGTGGGGTCGAATTTCAGCCACGGAGCGAATTTCGCGACTGCGGGATCCACTGTTAGACCTCAGAACAGAACTAAGTCTCAGAGCGGATACAGTCCAATTTCCCTTGATGTGCAGTTCGTGCAGTTCTCTGATTTCAAAACCAGATCCAAATTCGTTCGCCAACAAGGTGCATTACACATCACTTCACTTGTATCCTACAAGTTGCATAGTCAATTGTAAATTCAAATCCCAATATCAACTTCTGCTAATGTTAATTTAGGTTAAATGAATTTTTGTTATAATAAAATTGGTTTCATACTGAAAATTTCTTTTGTCAACATTTTTTGGTTGGTAAAACTCATTGAATATAGCTTATGATTCTCCATTATTTGCAAATTAAATCCATGTGTTTGGCAAAATTCATCTAACGAGAAAACTGGATAAATTGTGTTGAAAGATTGATAAATAGTGTGTTAGGAACATTTTTCTAATAACAATAATGTCTCCTTGGAAAGGCTTGGGTTAGGTTTCCACTAGTTCTGTTAACCTTTCCTTAGCTTTATTCAACTAAAGGAAGAATATTAGTGATTAAAATAGAACAAACTAAAGAAGATGCTAAATGATCACTGATATTAATGTGGTACAGGAGGGGTGTTTAAGGAATTGTTGCCCAGAGAGGAGTATTTTTCTGAGGCTCTATATACCTTCGATATAGGCCAAAATGATCTCACAGCTGGCTACAAACTCAATTTGACCACAGAACAAGTCAAGGCCTATATTCCTGATGTATTGGGCCAGTTCTCCTCAGTCATAAAGGTCAGTCATGTATTCAAACGCTATCTTTTGGAATCTCTAACTTTTGATAATTAAGTTCATAGCTATAATATTCTGTTTCTATTCTAATTTTAATTCTAGTTTGGTGAAATTACTCAACCATTTCTATTTCTGTTTTTATCAGTAGTAGTAACTTTTCTCATAGGGCACCTTACAGGCTTTAATATTTTTCAAAAAGAGGATTAATGTAATGTAAAAAGAGTTCGATTATAATATATAAGTGCAAGGATAGAAATAGCCAGAGGTGCTTGTAAAATTTAAGAAAACTTTTAAGGTGTTACGGATGTATGGAAAATTTTCTTCATAAAAACTAAAAGAAAAAACATAAAAAAATTAATATTTTTTTCAAGTTAAAATTAGTTTATGCATAAATTAATTTGTAAAAAGTCTCTTTTTGAATTCTCTAAATTTTTATTTTTTACCTTGTGTGTAACCTAATTTGAATTTATGAAAAAAAAAATTATATCATTTTTTTTCCTAGAAATTATATGGAAAATCTTGTGGAGTCCTTGATATAATTTATTTTTTGATAATTTGATGTGGTGTATGAAATTTACTGAAGCATGGTGTTGTGATTAATCATATGAAGTAGGGTGTGTATGGGGAAGGTGGAAGGTGGTTTTGGATACACAACACAGGCCCATTGGGATGCTTGCCATACATGCTGGATCGCTATCCCATGAGCCCAGCCCAAATGGATGACTTTGGATGTGCTAAAGCATTCAATAGGGTGGCCCAATATTTTAATAAAAAATTAAAAGAAGCTGTTGAGAAACTGAGGGAAGAACTGCCAGAGGCTAAACTCACCTATGTTGATGTGTATAGGGTGAAGTACACCCTCATCAGCCATGCCCAAAAATATGGTATGACTTTTGATTCTCTTTCATTGTTGTTACTTGTTTAAACTTGGAAAATGTAATGAAATAGTAACGTAGGATTTTTGGAATGAAAAGGTTTTGACAAGGGGGTGATAGCATGCTGTGGACACGGTGGGAAATACAACTTCAATAATAGTGAGAGATGTGGAGCAAGCAAGAGAGTTAATGGGAGAGAGATTGTGATAGCCAAGTCCTGCAAAGATCCAACTGTGAGGATTATTTGGGATGGAATCCATTACACCGAAGCTGCTAATAATTGGATCTTCCAACAAATAGTCTATGGCTCATTTTCAGATCCACCTACCTCATCATTAGGAGATACAAATTCACGTTCTTGTAGTGAATTTTGATCTGTGTGCTTAAACTAGCAGGTTTTATAAAGTGTTTAATGAATCATGTTGACAAGTTTTACTTATCATTCATATATAATTTTGGGAGAGTTTAGCATGTTAATTATGATTATTATGTGTTACAGATGTGCAGATAACATACTTTCTAGCAAACATTATTATTGATTAAAATCTATTAAAGACTACAAAACTAAGAATCTAGGAGAGAAATATGTTAGTTAAAAAAATAAGATCAATTATAAGGTGTGATTTTTAATAATATCAGTGCCATAAAATGTATTTAAGAAAGCATGTTAGAGAATATTCCTATTATTTATTTTATGTGATATTTAAATATAAGATATAAATACTTTTTTAATTCCTTTACTTATGTGATATTTATTTTTGGTTGTTTCTCTCTTTTTTTTCTAATAATTTGTTTGGGTCCCTTATTCTTTCAAAATTAGTACTTGGGTGACTAAGGATGGTCACTTGATGATATGATGTGAACACTCAATATGGTTTTATTTTCTCGATCCTTTCTTGTGTATTAAAAAAAGAAATTAAAATTTTCCCCTCAGTGTATTTGCTTTGACCTTTTCCTTTTGATACTAACTAAAAATAAAATGAACTAAATTATATATTTTTCTTTTATCCGTCAGAAAACAAAAGAACAAAAATACAGTTAAAATAGGTATAAAAGAGGAATCAAGACAATTACGACAAAACAATAAAACAAATATTTGAAAGAGGGAGTCTGAAAAATGAAAAGAAAAAGAACAATATACACACGTTCGTGACCATAGGATGCTATTCTGGGCATAAACAAATTTGTCTCTCCCATTATTTCTTGCCCTTTCCTCTTTGATGCCACGCAATGCTGGACGGTCTCAGTCACCGTTACTTGCAAGGACGTGTGCTCACCTTCTTATATTTTATTGGTTAATCATATTTTCTCCAATTCTCTCTTCCTTCTTATGGTCAAAATAGTAATATATGCACCAATACAATTTGCCTTTGTTTTTTTTTTTTCAAGATAAGGCAAGAGAAGTTAAAATATACAAACCAAATTTGCGTTCTTTTAACCAGCTTGTGAGCAAGCATTATTGGCACAATAGCTAAAGAATATAATGTTGGGTAATTTCTTTTATTATGGTAATGTTACAAATTATTCATAGTTCTAGATCACTGGTTAAGGAACACAAATGTTGGATAATGTTGATTGTAAACCTTTTATTCTAGTATTCCGAATTATAATAATTCAAATATACTTTTATTCTTAAAAAAAAATAAAAAATGGGATGCTTAATTATGACTACATCATTTTTTTCGTTTGTTAGGATGCAATAGGACTTACAATATACTGCAAGTAGAAGTAGTAGTAGCGGTCTTCTGTGGTTGGTTCTAAGTGGTGTTGGTAAACTAATCCAGTTCCAAGGCAAATGCTTGTCTGTGCAGCGAACGCAGGTGTGACTCACACTCCTCCACACTCCCTCACCTTCTGCTCTTCCAACGCTAAATCCCAACGACTTTTCTCGAATTCTGTGAGCCTCCCTCTCACGCACGCACCCTCCTGCTTTCTCCAAACCATCAACGACAACCCTACTTCCGATTCCGATGATGCCCTCCGTCTCACGGTGTCTTCTGCCGCCGCTGTCGCCTCCGCCATTCGCAAGGCCTCCACCTCCCCCATCCAGTTCACCCAGCGTCCCGAGAGCGATCGCCAATCCGGACTAGTGCTTCCCAGCACCGACTTCCATCGACTGTGCCTCCACCAGCTCCGCCTCTTTCGGAGGATCGTTCCCGAAGCCCTGCTCTCGGTTGATGCTCCTCTTCATCTATAGTTTTCAGCGTCTTTGGTTGGTTGCTTAGGTTCAGTTATAAGTCCAAATAAACCCTCAATTTCATCCTTCAAGTATTACCCTCTCTCCTAAATAAGTAGTCCTAATGTAAAATAATTATTTAATTCTATAAGTAATACCTAAGTATTAGAAATCATGCCAACGCTAAGTAGTCCTTCAAAAAATGAAATAAATCTTCCCGTATGTTAGCAGATATATCAATTTAGAGATTAAACTGATGGATGTTCAATTATCGAGGAGTTTCTAGTATAGTTTGGCTACTTAGGAGGGAGAATAATACTTAGGGATCAAATTGGCGATTTATTCGTTAGTCAAACAAACTCTAACCTGCTTCCTTAAATTAGTATAACCAATCAATGAAAGTTTTAAGTTGCGATACTCCATGTGGTTTTGACGCCTCAATCCTTTGATATTTGAGAAAATTGAGGACAAATGCAGCTGACGTGATTGCTATTGTGGTCTTGAATACTCCAAAACCTGACTGTTGTAGCTGAAATCATGGTTGCAGGATGTTTTATAAAACCATGCCATCAATTTAAGTTTCTATCAGTCAATTGGGTTCCTTATTGTCTGGAATCAAATTATGCCGGGGAACAAATTAACTACTGCATGTTAGGGAGTAAATCGGCTAATTTGGTAATGTCAGGAACCAAATTGGTAAGTGAATAATGATCAAATTTCATGGATAAAATTGATGGATAAATGGTTACCAAGATAGGGCCTAAATTTTCTTTTCTGTAATATTCATGGCCAATTTGGCTGTATTTTTACAAATTTAGAAACTAAATTGATTATTGAAGGGATTAAATTGACATTTCCAAGTAAGGACTACAATCTTTGTTTGCTTAAACTTGAACTGGGGTTAAAGAGCTATGTTGTTTTTGTTGTTCAGGTGTATGTTAGACCAGCTGGCAGTTATGTGATGGATCGGTTGGAGCTGCGACGGGTTGCACTGTACCCTGGAGATGCAGAGTCAGAGGGCATTGTCATTCTTGTGGGTCAATTTAATATTCCTGCTGGGTTGCGTGCTGCCGAGGCCACACTTTCTAATTTGCAAGTGTGTTTATTATCTTGAGTACAGTGTGCTTCTGCTTCTATTCCACTGTGCCTGATTATTCTTGTTGGGTAGGATAATGTAATTTAAGTGTGGATATTAATTGTAGGTTAGTGTTGTCCCTGAATGCAAGGCTGTCGTTCTTCCGATGGTGAAGCACCCATTTGTTGTAGGTTTCTTGGTAGCTGAGCTTCCAATGGCGGAGCAGGAACAGTGTCAGAAACCTCAAAGTGATGGTCCAGATAACTACACGTCTATTGAGGAACCTTATTCATTGCCTCCGTTTTTGGATTTAGATAAAAAGTCGAGGAAAATTCAGACTCTTCAGGTCAAGGACGAGGCAGCTGGTATGTGGAACTTCACTTCTGAGCAAAGATCAAATGCTATCAACATTTCACAGTCTCTAGCTATGGCATATGTCATGGATCAGGTTTATATACTGCCACCTTTTTTCCCCTTAAAAAAGAAGAAAATCCATGACATTTAACTCATTACTCTTCAAATATGAAATGGTAGAAAGTTTGTCACTCAAATTTTGTGGGATTTGCCTGGAATTTTGCACTTCATAATAACATTTGCTACTTGAATGTGTGCTTTTTAAAAGTTGTTGCATTGAAGTTAACAATTATTTTATCTATCAGTTGAGCAAGACACTAAGACTGAGTTACTGTTATAATTTAGCGTGCAATGCAAGTCTTTTAATGCCTTGTGTGGGCCTAAATTTCTAGCTTATGGTTATGATCTTTTTACAGAAAGCAATGCTACTTCAGCAATCCACATGGCAAAATAATGTCAGGATGGGTAATCTGGTTGAGCAAGTATGAGTTGTTGACTGTTGTTGCATTCCTTTAATATTTCATTTTCATCTCGATCTAATGTTTCTTTTTTTATACAGATCCGTGGTCCACTTTCAAGTATTCAAACCTTAAGTAAAATCCTGTCTGCACAGACAAAGCGAACTCAGGTTTGAAGATTGTCTAAAATGTACCTGATGAAATATAAATCACATACATTTACATTTGTGTACGTGGGGAACCCAAGTAGCCAGTTGGATGAGGTCCTAGCTGAATCAAGTTTGTGCCAATGGTATTGGTCAAGCCATATGATCCAAGCCCATGGCTAAAACCCTGTTCTGATGGGGGGATTTTTTTTCGTGGGAGGGTGAGATGAGGTTGTAAAATGTGTAATATGATCGTTGTTTTATTGTAACAATAAAATATTTGTCATTACAATGTTAATTATAAGTCACTTTCTAAAAAATAAGTATTCATATGTTAGTTTTACAATGATCTATATATTTAAACCAGGTCAGTCCATGAGTTGAATTGATACATGATCATGTCTAGTCTGTGTCTCTATAAGTGCACAATTTGATGTCTCGTTAAATTTCCTTTTTCAGGTGGATTTAATATGTTGAAAATCAACATGCACTTTATGTTACTGAATGTGCTAACTTAAATGAATTGGAGATTGCTGACTATAGTCTTATTCATGAAGCCTTGAACTGATTTCTATCATAGTTCTTATTGCAAGAAAATAGGAGGTGTTAGATAAAAAAGTTACTAAATGAAAATAGATCAGTTGAGAAAATTAGTGTGAACATGCTGCAAAATGAAGAAGTGTTTCAATCTGAAAGGATGTTGAATCTCAACTATAGTTGTCGATACCTTATGATTATTATATGTCAAGAATGGCTGATAATTGGTAACTACACAGATTTCATATGACATTGTTGAAGACCTCTTGGTGCAAGGTGATCGTCTGAGGGATGTTCTCCAACAACTACAAGATGCTGTTTATTTGACAAAGGTACTTCTTTCTCTTCTACTTATAATCATGCATGCATGCAAATACTTTTCTTTTACGAATAATCAATTAATGACTCTATGTTCAATGTACATTGGAAGATCTTGAGTCTTCGTCCCATTTTGTCACTTCTCTGACTAGTTCGTTGCATGTAAAATTGCACTTATGGGTAAGTGTGCCTTGTCACAAAAGTAATAAAGGGATTTGTGTCCTAAGTATCTCATTCAAGGGATTAGTTCACGATTACTGAATTCTCTAAAACCTTTTGCTACTCAAACTGTCAAAAAGTGATGATTACTAGAGTATCAGGAGAGGAAGAGAAATTGAAACTTAAATGCATAAGCACATGAAGAGTTCAGTTATAAAATTGCCTAGATCTGTGGCTGCACTTGCATTCAATATTGGGATTTTCAATTTCTCTCCCATATGTGTTCTCTTATCAAATGTGAAACACCTCCGCTAACCTATTAACAATATGTGGTTTTGACTTGGTAATGATCTTTCCTTGATCAAAAGTCATGTAAGACTCCAAACAAGAAAGCCTAAGGAACCAACTTGTTAATTGAATAAAAGCCAAGTGGAATTCAAGAATTGAGGTTTGTTCATGCAACAATTCTAAGTGCATGTTGGATTGAACTTACTTTTGCAGCTTGAGAGAAATTTTTGAAAAAAAGTGATGATTTCCTTGAAATTAAGCCCAACCAAACATGCATTTATTCCTATAAGTTTGTTAATTAATTGTGTATTGTCATCAATCTATTAACTAACTCAAATCATATTAGACTCTAGATACCATGTTCAGATATATGAGAGTCAATTGAGAATCCCTCTATGTGTGTGTATATATATATATATATTTGTATATGGATATAATAGATAGATGTAGATATAGATATCACAGACAGTACAAAGAGATGTGTTTGAGCCCATACAATGACATGCGAAGGGGATATTGCAAGGTGTGCGTTCTTTTTTCCAGAATTCCAGATGCAAAAATATTGACACTCAAAGTGTATATACCTTTTAGTGTCTGCCCACATTCTCTAATCCCCCGTGAGGAGGATTCTTCATCCTTATCACTTGATTTTTTTAATATAACAGTTAAAGATGAGATGAGATGAGTGAGGAGGCTTTTAGTGTCTCACACAGTTGTTTTTAGAGTAACTTTATTGAACAAAGTTTGTCCTGGCCAGTTTCTTATTGACGGAATATTTAGTAAGCAAACAATTGTAGAAATGATGCCTCTTATGTTCATTTTTTGTCCATTATGTAGACAAATATAGTGCGCTACAATGAAGAAGCAATCAAGAAAATGAATGGTTCTGCTCACATACTTGCTGAATCAGCAAGATCTCAATTGCTAGATAGCTCCCCAGGAGATGATGTCTCTGCAAATAAAATGAAAAACTGTGGTGAATCACTTTCTCTAAGTGCTGCTGTCCATGATGTAGAGATGCCACTACCACCTTTGGCCCTCTCTCCATTGCAACATGGAATCAGGTGGGTTTAACTGGTTAATAAATGCTCATGCTTCTTTTATACTGTCATCCCCATTTTCATCTCTGTCTCTCTAAATGTGTGTGTATGCATGAGGAGTGATAAAAAAACTCCTTAGATTAAGAAAAAATGGAAGTTAAGATGACGAATAAGTCTCTTAAAGTTAATCTTGGAGTAACTTGATTCCCTCTCTCACTTTGTATATTTATTCTCTTGATTCTGTGATATCCCACTCAACCTAAATAAACTCGTGACCAGCACATTTTCACATCAATAATATCTTATATATTTAATTTCTTCATTAGCTTTCAGCTTGCTTTTGGCTTTTTGATATTTATTTCTTTTATTCTCACCAATTATTTTCTTTTATGCATTTATTTTGCTTATGCTCTTTGTTAATGTCAGGAAGATCGTGCAATGTTTCTGAATTATTGACAGACTTGGTTGATTCAGTGAAACCACTTGCCCAGAGTCAAAAACGTTTAGTGGAACTAAGTGAACTCTCATCACCTTTGCTGGCTGCTGTAGAAGAACCTGCATTGCGCCAGGCTTTCAGCAATCTTATTGAAGGTGCTTTACTACGCACGCATGTTGGAGGAAAGGTTGAAATTGTATCTACTGCAGCACCAGCTGGTGGCACCCTTGTACTTATTGATGATGATGGACCTGATATGCACTATATGGTAACTTCAATTCACTCCCACTCCTGCTGTACTTGCTGGTTTTCTTCTGAACAACCTGGAAATTGTTTTATGCACGTAATTTGCAAATTGAAACATCTCCGTGGTAAACTTAGGCTTGGGCTTGGTCAACGGCTTAGTTCTTAGTTTAAGCATATTTAATGTGAGGAAATGTTGCAGTATTTTCCCGCATATGATTTGCATGATTCATACTACCATCTCTGGTAGATGTGAAAGCCTCCATAAAATTACCATAATATTGAGATATTTGAACACTTCGTGGTACACAGCACATAGATTTGAATCTCTGACATTTCTCAAGCTTCGGAAACCCTTCACTCGAAGCCAACTCCTTGTTGCTTCTATTCAAACAATTGTTCTATCGAGTGTTTTATTGCTAGGGGAATTGAACTTTGTAAAATAGAAATTAATTATCGGTAATGAACATGTATGCAGACTCAGATGCACTCACTCACACCTTATGGACAAAAACTGTTGTCTGATGATATGATTGAAGACAATATGACTTGGAACTTTGTTGCTGGGCTGACTGTTGCCCGTGAGATACTAGAGAGCTATGGCTGTGTCGTCCGCATCGTTTCGCCTAGGATTAAAGATGCTCCTCTTGGAGCTGGGGGAACACGTCTCGAACTCTGGCTTCCTTCAATTGTAAAATCTAATTTGAGCAGCCACACCCAAGAGGGGATAGCATGAGTTTCAACTTACCATTGAAGATTACATCCATTCTCAAACAAATCTACATTGTAGCACGTGGCCAGTAAAGGTTGTGAATTAAGGGGTGGTAAATATTACTAGTTCTTTCTTCGTTATTGCTGAAGATAATACCTCTGTATATAGCTCACAAAGATTTCGTTGGTACAGCGTTATCCGTGTCTTGTAAACATTTTTTCAACACATTAAAGTGTATGCATATTACATCGCAGGAATACTTGTTGGGTTTACAAGAGTGGAAGTATCTGAAGCTTCAGCTTTTGACCATTAGAATGAATCTCTTTCATAAAAATATACATAGTTTTGGAAATGGCTCGTAATTTATCCTATTTTATTTTTGTTGATTAGTGTAACGAGCACTACACTTCCGTGTACTGGTAAAAGTAAAATGCATGTACGAGGTTCATTTGATTAAAATGTAAATGAAAGTATTTTAATCTTGTACTCTTTCAATTTTTAAATATCAATCGAATAAGGGGTTTTATACTGATTGTCCATCAGTCAGTAGGTAAGTATTATGTAACCGAAAATTTTGGTAATGATAGAAGGGTTTTCGAACTATAGGATTTTGAATATAGTATATGTGAACCGAAACATGGACATTCTATTTTAAACATTCCTTAGACAATCTAATAAAAAAATATTAAATTACAAAGTAATTTTATTCTCGTTTTAGGTTTTATTCATCGTCCTCATCCTCTTATTATCTACCTATTTTAGTTTTGTGTCTTTACTATTTTTTTTTTTTTTCAAATCTCACTCATCATCTCTTTTACCTACATCCTCGTTTTCATCACACTCTCAATTATTATTATTGAATCAATATTTAAATTATAAATTGATTTTATAATTTTTATGAATTGTGAATTGAATGTTATGATAAATAGTAAAATACACTATAAATATACAGTATAATATTTTTAAATAAAAATAAGTAATAAAAAATATTAAAAAATATTAAACTGTTTTTAAAAATAATAAAATATCAACTAATTTTATATAAAAAATAAAAATGAAAATGAAAAATAAAATAATAAATAATAAATAATAAATTAAATGATAAAGTAAAAAAAAACATAATAGTACAATTTCAATTAAAATAGAAAACGTAAATGTCACGTCCCTCTTAATACTGTTCATTCTCTCCTCTTTTTTTGCACACCGTGTTCATCTTTTTCTTCTCACTAGTGTAGCGCATCTTCCTCACCAGTGTAACATTATGTTTTTCCCCCCTCATCGCAACACCACTATGTGTTTTCTCCCTTCACTGTAGCACCACTGCATTTTTTTTCCCTCACCGTAGCGTGTTGCATTTTTTTTTTCTCGGCGCAGCACCGCTACGTTTTTTTCTCCCGACCGCAGCACCACTTCGTATTTCTTTTCCTCGCAGAATGGTGTTGAATCGCAAATCCTATAATTCAAATTCGATTCATCCGATTTGTCTGATTCAAGCTTCGATTCAAAGTATAAAACGATACATTCAATAAATTTTATCGAAAAGTTTGATTTTTAAACAAATCGCGATTCGAATCGTATGATTCGTGCGATTCTAACTACCATGCTCTCAATTGCACAACCATTGTTTTTGTTGTTGCTGTAGCTTGTATTGCTTCTAGCTTGTGCTTGGGTAATTGTCCCTCCGTTGTCATTGCTTTTGTTTCCAACCACTATTTTCCGCTTGGTGTTCTATTGCTTCTTGATTTACTTGGTAGGTAGATGATGGTTTTGATGATGTTTGTTAGAAACAGAGGATGTGTTTTCCTTTTGGGTTTTACTGTTGCTTCTCACTTCCAACGTAGTGTTTTCTTGCTTTCCGTATTTGCTTGGGTTGTCTTCCCTCCCCTCGTCGTCGTTGTGGGCGCTTCAAAGGTTTGTGTCGTGTTGTGGTCGTGGTCTCTGCCTATTAGGTTTAGGTTTTATCAATTACTAGGTTTAGTTTTTTTCGATTAAGAATTAAGTTTAGTTTTTGACAATTGAAAAGTTTAGTTTTTCTCCACTTAGGTGTAAGATTAGGATCAATGTGTTGTTGACTTAGAATTTAGCTTAATTTTATTATTAAGATTACAATATTACACAATACTATTATTGTTGAATACTTATTGTCTAAGATACAAGTTAATGATTGATGACAACATGTAGTTAGTTAGAGTTACACAGTTGAATTTGTATTGTTATTTTATGTTAGTAAAAGAAATTTTGGATGTTTATGATTTCAATTAGTAAATTTTTGTATTGGATATCAGAATTGATTTATAATTTTTTCTTGTTACATGACTTTGACCTTAATAATAACAAGGAGTATATGCTTTTACATAACTTTTATGATATTAATTATTAAATTGTACTCATATTGTTGTTATGAAATAGTCGTATGCATGTATTGGACTTATAGTAAATATCGTTGTAGTAAATAAATTGTATATTATGAACTTAAATTATATAGGACTACATATATTTGTAGTTTAAAATGGAAACACAAGAAAGCATAAATGATGAATCTTTAAATGTTAAGAAGGTGTATATTGTATTTATTTTGTATAATGTTAGATATTGTTGGTGATAATTATAATTATTTATTATGATTTTCAGGTATATTTACGATATGTTTATAGGACAAAGTATTTAGGTAAAATGAATAATATTTTAACAAAAGAGCAAAAAGATCATATTGAGTCAACACCATTTAAATGGTTGATATCATTGGGTGTAAATGTTAAAATTTGAATTAATATTATATGAGTTGAAAAGAAAGGAGGATTTAATATAAGGTCTGAAATAATAGGTTTTACACGATTAGATGTGTGTTTATGTGTAGGATTTCGTGTAATAAGAGAAAATATCAAAATTGTAGAAAAAGACATCAATTTATTTGATGAAGCGAAGATATTATTTACAACTGCATATATTATGATGTGTGTTTTTGGTATAGGAATCCTAAATTATGATTTATGTTTTATTAAACTGCTTTTAATTTAGTGATTTGATATGATATTGTGCATTTTGTTGATATTAATTCAGATATGGGTTATGGAGCATCTTTTAGTTTACAATACCCATACATGGAAGGAGATAAGTTGATTTACAAGATTTTTACAATGACGTCTATTGTAATCAAGGAAAGTAAAATTGTAGTTGTGTTTAATCATAATATAGTTAGTTTTTTTTTAAATTTAGTAGAACTTGTTTAGAAAATTACTTTACCATGTAATTTGAATTTGATATTGTTTATGTTTCATAGGTTATTCATGACTTGTGTGCTAAAGATGAAGATACATTACTCATGATATAGTGAGATAAACTTTAGCACATACCATCCATGAATTTGAAGAATTGAAAATTTCTATTGGTATGATATTTGAAATTATTGTTAAAAATCAATTGTTGATTGCCCTAATCAAATAACAAGAATCAACAATTGCAAATATAGAGGAAGATGTAATAGAATCACAAGAATTGTTAGATGAAGCATAACTATCAAGAGTAGGGGTAAATCCTCCATCATCTACAATTTACTTCTTTCTTGTATTTGAAGGTAGCATGAAGGAGATGAAACATAATACTGAAGAAGCAAAAGATTCAAAACTGCATTGTGAAGGGTCAAATATTTACATTCAACTTAAAGCTCATCCAAGAATTAGATTTAAAAATTGTGATCAAAACTCCATGGACTTCTTATTTAAGAAAAAGAAAAAAGGCCACATAAGTGCTAGCATATAGTATGTACATTAATTATTTTGTTAACTTTAATTGTTTTGGCTTAAGAAACATATCAATTTCTATTTCATATTTTGATTTTAAACCTTTATAATGTAAGTTTTGTGGCCTCTAAAGATGTGATATTGGACATTATTCTTTACAATATAATCATAATATTATATGTTCCCAGGTAAATGTCTTATTCAGTTAACCATATAAAGTTCATGGGGTAATAGGATAACCACGGATGATAAACTTAACAAATAAATAAAATAAAAAGCCATTGATAGTTAACTATATAAAGTCAATGAGATAGTCATTTATGTTAAAAATGAATAAATGTAGCATGATTAATGAATAAACATAGAATAAATACAATAAAATGTCCTTTGTTCTACAACTAAAAGCATTTTAATGAACCATAATTAATATGATCTAACATACACAACCATTAAAACTTGAATGGTTATTTCTTCACAAATACAGGAGGAGTTTAGTGAGAAATTTAGTTACTATTATGTCATTTTTTTTATTCATAAAATACCTGTTATTAACAATTAAAATATTTTTAAAAATGATTACTTTCTTACTAACTAAGTTCATGATATTCTTTTTAAAGAAAATTAACGAGGTTGACCAAAATTCCCGACATAAATTTGAGTATTAAAATAGATGGTGACTATTTTGTACTTAAATGGTTACCTTCCTGTTATATTTTGTAAATTGTTTAAAATGTGCAAAGATTAATATCATTTCTTCTAAACATGTCATAATCTGAGTGTTATGCATGTTATAGTAATATATGTTTTCTTTGTTTTAGAACTTAAAACATTTTAATGAATAACAATTTATATTATCTAAGATAGATAACCATTAAACATTAATTGGTTAGTTGTTCACATTTACGTTAGGAAGTGATGGATTTTGTCACAACGACACCACTTTCTTTTATTTATAAAACAACTTTGATTAATAATTATACTATTTGACAAATGATTAATTTTTTACCAAGTAAGTTCATGATAATCATTTTAAACAATAGTTATTAAGCTTTACAAAATTGTATACATAAATATGATTTCAATAGTATATGATTAGTAGTTTCTACTTACATGATTACCTTGTTTATACATTTGATGAAATGTGAATATTGTACAATCATTATTATTTCTTACTAACATATAATAATATGTGATGAACACATTTTATCAATGTTTTTACTAATATAATTTATATATCTAGTATATTTTTAATTAATTATTAATAATTAATAATTAATATAGTTT